TACCTTGTGCACGTTACTACTTGCTTTTGCTCATTTGCTTTTTCTTTAATACTTGAAACTAGTCATTAAATGAATCACTAATTGTTAATCAATGAAGAACCAATAAGTCTGATCTTTCGAAAAACTGTGTAAGAACTCGTGATACAAATTTACATTATTTTGACACTAGGTATTAATCTTTTACAATATGAGGGTGCAAATGACTGACAAGTTTCTAAGAAGAATAAACATATAGTTTGCCATGAATTAAAATGCATCAAGTGTAAAATGCAAGTTAAATGAAAGCATGTCAAAATAATGCATAAGCAACAAACAAGTTACATCTCAGTCATTGGAATAGTAATTCACGATTCTTACAAACTTCACGTGTAATTTATGATTAATGATTCAAAAGTTGTATGGGCTTGCTCTTATTTTATGCTCGAATGTGCAAGTATTCTTCTTCTATTTTTTTTTTTTTTTTATTTATTTATTTTTTTTAATTGTGTTTTTCATATTTTCTGTTAGACACACTTAATAATTCGTAAAAGATGCACCTCGAAGATTCGTCAACGAGCGATCGCACAATTAAAAGTTTACAGCCTTTCCTCGTATGTAAAATATTTATATTTTCATAAATACCGACATACCGAACGATAAGATCTAAGTAGAGAAATTGTTATTACATAATCACAGTTGTACAGCCATTTGCTACCTCGTATTTAAATACAAAAATGCTTAGATATCAGTACCGTAGAACTCGATCATTTTTTTTCTTTTTACTTTGCGTATGTGTTCCTGTTAATTTCAGTCTGATCAATGTATTATTATCAAAGAAAATGGCAAAATGGAGTAAATGGGGTGGGCGAGTCACTATTTGTTAATCGAAGGAAATCGCCAATTAAAAAAAGCTCGTGCAATTTAAATTACATACGAGTTTACAATCTAAGCAGTTTTGCAATACTATAACGGATAATAATACGAATATTTTAAAGAGCATACGTTCACATAATAATTGCAATAACACCAGATACTATAAAATTGGATCATTATCAACAATGTGTCCACGTTTGCATAATGAATGAAACAACGTGTTAGAAGAAGACTGAAAATAGATGATGGCGAAGAAGAAATAGTAATAATGTTAGCAGTAGTAGAAAGAAAGAAAGAAAAAAAAAGAAACATCCACTATTTTTTGTTTCCCACAATATTGAGCAGTCACTGTAGCAAACAAGAACACATTCTACAATAAATGAAATCAATTTGTTTTTTTTTTGTTTTTTTTTTTAAGTCAGAGTACTATTTATCGGAATTCATATACTGTTACTATATCTAAATAACAAATGCATTAGTCATATATCAAAACTACAAGTGATTAAAGGTGATACAGATTTATAGCAAGTATTCTTTTAGTTATAAATCGTAATATAAATGTTCAGCAAATGTTCTTTTTGTTTTTTTCATTTTGTAAGATATTACATATTACTATTTTACGTAATTCATTATTGTACAGTAATCTAATGATTATGTGTATGTTTTGACGCCTGGAGTGTGCAGATAATTCTTCCTCGATGTTAAGGTACCATCATCTGCCTTTTCTACTACATTGATCACAAATCCTTTCGATAAATGAAATAACAGGCAATATCTTTTAACGTTCAACTAGTGCATAAACAAACACATTCGCAATATGGCTCTTCTGGCATTTAATAAATGTTTTCTAACACAGGAGAAGAATCATTCGCACAAAACAGAGCATGTAACGTTTTGTATTTTATATTATTGTAACTTGTCAAAAATATATTGTTCAATTTCATCCTGCCCTATTGTTGGTTTTCTTTGTGCAGTGTTCAACCAAGTCCAATTGATCTTACTCTTAAATACATGAACATACTTTGGTAATCGTTACATTAAAAATATCCAGTTTATAAACATATACAATATATATCTTTTATATTTATGAGATTCAATATATTAAACATCGTGTAATACTTGAATGTACAGTACTCTCTTTCTTTACGATCTTTAAATTGAATGAAAGTAGAAAAATTAATTATTACAAAGAACAAAAAAGTTATAGCACCTAAATTTTTAAAGATTCATACATTATTATACACACGTTGCATTAGAAAAAGAAAAAAGTAATCTCACTGAAACCAACAACTTGGGCAGTACTATATAAATATTCAACTGTATGTTTTCTTTAATACACAGTATTAGCTAATTAATTTATTTTGTTATTCTCCTATTACCCTATTTTGTAGCTAAATTTGTTGCTTTCACAATAATTTATGTTCTTAGTAATAATATTTTAATTGTGTTATTGTTTATAAGTAAAATAGTACATATATTGTATTGTTTATAATATTCAATATTATATATCATTCAGGAATATCTTTCCTAGATTTTTTTTTCACCCAACTCACCGTAATCATAGTATGCTCCAACTTTATACAAAATAACATTGTTCTGTAAGATACTACATATCTCGTATATACTGCACAAACAAGTACACATTTGATGTTAAAGCGTAACACAAACTATCTTTTCATTTCGACAATTACTATTCATATTTAAATATAATCTATTAAAGGAGAACATTATGATTACGAAAAGTCGATGAAATTGGCATTCTTTACAAGTACGTTCATCAACAAATTGCTACCATGTTAAAATTGTTTAATCGTCTACTATTTCTATCAGAAGTTGGTGAAAATTCTTTACAGGTAATGCAATGATAACAATCTAACATTCATAATACAATCGACGATTTAAAAATGAAACAAGGATCGAGAAATAGTATTCTTTTTAAGATAAAATATATCCAAAAAGACTTGACAATAAATATTTTTGTTTTCAAACACTTGCTCTGTAGGTTGTTGTACTTATAAAGAATGCATTTAAAAAACACAATTGAAAAATGCATTATTATAGCGCTAAATTGATTAAATTCTAAATAGTACTTTTGAAAATTGTATCATGGTATGAACGATCCACAGCGAAATCAAGATATTTATATTTTTCTTCACCACATGAAATTGGAATATAATATACATATAATCTATTTATGTAACAGTGTTATTCCGTTTGCTTATTATTCTTAAATTTTTGTTGGTATCGATGCACGTGTCATTTTCATTTCTACCTTCTTTTAATTCGGTGAATCGTTTATACCATGATACACAAAATTGTATTTTTCTTTTTAGTAACGTCTATTATATTTTAATATTAATAACCTGTGTAATAAAAATGGACCTAATAAAAACATTTATTATTTCTTTTTTGGCCTCACTTTTTGATATTAAACTATGAAACTAATCGAAGAAAAAAGAAACACAACAATCAGTTATCATTGTTGAGTGTTAAATAATTAAATAATTAAGTAAAGTTTGCTATAATACCCCTTTCCTCTTGTTTTAATTAAATCAATGTAATTACTTTTGTTTTCCTTCAATCTCGTTTGGACTACTATTATTTGTGTATCTCGTTTGCATCAACAAGATTTAAAAAGGATTCTACAGCTATAAAAAAAAAAAAAGTATGTACTTGTTCATTCGCATATGATTTGTGCAGGGTATTATACACATTTTAAAATAATCTTTTTAATTATATCGTAAATATTAAATAATAATAGTCTTCAAAATTGATTATTGTAACATTTTATGTCTATGAGGAAAAAATTTGATAATGTTGTCCTATCTATTCTAGTCAATTATACTTTTAGGCAATATTTTACCTTTTCTTGTTGTTTTCATTATGAATGTATAGTCGTTTCATAATAGTGATCTTTTACCAGCTACATATATGTTTTAAATGAAAATATCCCATAGAGCCGGTATACAAAACGCGTTCTTTTATGCGTTTCTCATTGAAAAAAGCTAATTGGCATGCTCATCTTTAGTTGCATGTCTTAAATATCGAGCTGTAACACGTATGTCACATGTTGGTATCATAAATATAAGTTATTTTCTTTATCTTTTGATTAAATTGAAAAATCCTAAATATTTCGTAATATTTTCTTATACCTAAAATGTAAAAACTTACAACACAAAGATTGAATTTAATCAATTCAATTAATTTAGTAATGTACTTTCGTCGTAAATTACATTTTCTTTTCATTGCTATCACACGTTATTTAATTTCAATAGCAAGGATATAGTGTAATTATATATTATATTATATGTACGTGTGTGTATATAATGTATATATTATATATTAAGCATACTTAAAGTTTAAAATGTAACATACTACATGTATAGAAAAGGCGAGAAACATATACAAGGACTAATATTATAATTGATAATTATTAGCTATCCAAAAAAAAAAAAAAGAAAGAAAAAAGATAGAAAGAAAGAAAAAAAAGAGAAAGAAAGAAAGAATACTTATATAAAAATGTTCACTACTAACTATCATATTCTTCGATGTATCCAAAGTATAAAAATTTTTTTTTATGAATTATAATTTGAGTATGTATTATAGAAATTACAAAATATGAAAAAAAAATTATATATATATTACACAAGAAAAAAACAAAGAGAATGATAAGAGCGAATATTGTAAGATTCAAAATAATACATATATCATTTCATTCTTTTTCCTTGAAGCAATGAAATGATTAAATGTATTATTTTACTTACGAATTCCAATTCGTTTCTTTGTTATAAATATGAGCAATTTTATTATTTTGTATAAAAGTCTAGAAATCATATATTCCTTATATTATAATTAGATATTATCAATACTACCTTTCTCAACCAAAGATATAAAATTTGTTAATACTTGTATTATTACCATCAGTACGGGTCAATTGAAAAATCCTATTTAAATATAGCTTTAAATACAATAGAAATATCATCATCTCGCGTGACATACGTTTAACAGCTCAGCAATTGAGGAAAATTATCCCATAACTATTATAAATGGGACATTATTAATCTTTTTTGTTGCGTTTAATTATGGTATTACAATTTTTTAAACAAATATATACTTCAGAGGTCCCAAAAACTTTGTCCATCATTTACGATTATATGTGGTTTTTCTTTTTTCTTTCACGCTACATATGTTTGTGTAACTGGCACACTTACGTGTTATAAGTTAATGCTAACTATTCAGCTAGCACCCTGCTAATAAATGTATTTTGAATTATATATTAAATATTTCTTTTCCATTTCAAGATCAATAATATGTGTTCTTAATTAATAAAGGATGTGATATTTCAATCTTTATAAACGGCTAATAATTAACAGCATGACTGTTGACACAAAGTATGACAAATAGAGACTTTGTTAAGTCTTATCACATCCACATTCACTTTGGCGATAGTCAAAAATTACATGTTCGATAAATTTTTTTCTTTTTTGTTAATTCTCTTGCGATTATACATGTACCGTGGTACAAAATTTCTTTGTTAATTGTTCACATTTGTATACCATCGCATTTAAAAACACTGAATTCGCATGAAATTTGTAGTTTACTACTCACATTAAAATTCTGAGAATATTCGTCCTTGTTACTGAAAAAGAGCGTAGATATAACAACGGGCGTTTTCTTTTAACAAAATACTCGGACCTAACTTGTGGAGACAACCGGAGTCTGGCAGTACGGGCACTCGCGTTGGTTTGGAGCGCACGTTGAGCAGACCACGTAGTGGTTGCACGGTGAGAGAGTAACAGTGCGATTTTGTTCTTCGCAAACCATGCACTTTGTTGCCGTTTCTCTGTACAGCACCTGGAACGGCAACAACTGAGCTACCTATAGTGTTTCCCCATTAATCGAACGGGGTCGCAAACATTATAAACATTTACGACTAATTAGAAAGATTCTTGATTTGCTAATTTATAGATGATAGAAGAAAATTGACGAAGATGAGGTAGTTACGGAATTTTAATTCTTTCGCCATCCTCTTCGGATAAAACTAATCATTAGTTGAGAATCGCTTGATATACCAGCTGTTCAAACCGGCATGACAACTTTGTTTTACCTTTTCTATTTCTTCGAGATCCGAACGAAGCTGCGATTGAATTGATTTTAATGCAGCTATCGATAAAGATCTGAGTTCGCTTGTTCTTCTCAAAGTATGAAGATACGGGCCACCGCTAGAAGCTTCGTTCTCCACCCTCAATGCTTTCACTTGCAACAAGGCCTGTCAGTACATATACAAGCGAATTTTATATTAAATACAGTAATCATAAACAAGATAACGTGGTAATATAAAGTACCCAATATAAAACATTTTATTTTATACTTAGAATGAGATACTCTAAATACCTCGTCTCTCTGTTGTTCAGCAATACTTGCTTTTCTTTTAGCTTCTTCGCTCTCTAATTGCCACGCAGCACAAGCAGCTCTAGCTTGATTAATTCGTTCGTCCCATGTTGCTAATTGTGCACGGCTCGATGTCAACTCCTCCCTGAGCCTTTGCACCTGTAGAGTATCGTTATCGAACGAATTGGCTTTCCAAAACTTCGTTCACGGTGGTCGATTAAAACTGAAGAAAACATTCTCTTACCTCGGATATGGATCCTGTATTATTTGGACTAATAGAAAATGCATTGACCAACGGAGATGCTGGGAGAGGTTGTGTACGAGATGGAGACATTCCTTGATTCGTGAAATCGAATAAACTACTATTAAATCCGCTAAGTTTCGAAGCTGAACTGCTAAGTTGTGAAATGTGATTGCTAAATGGATCTGACACTTGATTCATAAATGGCATTGTCTGAAATAAAATAAAATAAAATATTACGATAATGTTGGAATAACCTTTATCGAGATATATTCAAGAGGAAAAAAGTGACGCTCCCGTTTACCGATTCTATTGAATCTTGATGAGAAAATCTGGACCCGGTGAGGAAACCAGCTGAGTGTAAGTGTTGAAGTGGACTGGACGTTGATGGCGAAAAATTAGTAAGAACAGAACGTTCAGCCATTCCAGGAATATTAACTGGAGCTGAGCTTCCCAATAATCCAGAACTTGCTAGGCCTGCTGATATTGAATTGCTAATTGGTGAATTAGTATCCCTATGAATTGATTCTACTAAATTTAGGGGATCATCTAGATGTAACTCATCTAATGCATTTCCTAAAAATATAACAGAAAAAACAACAGATAATACGTGTAACGAAACCAAAACCGAACGAACCAAGTCCAAACTGTGTTTTCTATCGTTACTTCAAATGTAACTCACCTACTACAGACTCAACGGTATCATTTGGATAAAATGAACTTGAAAGTGGTGAAACGGTAGTCGCTAATGAATGACTGCCTAAGGTACCATTCAAACTGTAAGCAATGTATAGACTTTGTTTCTGTTGAGCTTTTTCAGCTTTTGTTAATAAAGGATCACTATCTATAGCAACCATTTGTTTTCGTATTTCACCCTGTTAAATATATTTGTCAAATTAAAATTAGCTCTGCACCTGTCGTCGTTAACGTATTCAAAAACTGAACAGCTAAAACTTACAACTTGTAAAATAGAATTGGGATTGTAAAGTATGCTCGTTAACTTCTGTTGATTGGAAGTATTTACAGTGTTATTGGAATTAGAATTATGCAGTTGAGCACCAGGAGCTTTACTGTGTGAACTGTTGCTACCAACGCTACTGGTACTTGCCGATTCTGATACTTCACCACTTCCATTCTGTAATTTAAGCATATGATGGTGTTTATAGTCAAGTACCTTCTCTCGGTGATCGTTTCATTGAAAAACTTACACTGCTATCGCTAAGTGGTTTATCTTTTTCATGAACACGCTTATCGGGTGGAAGAGCGTTGCTGAGAATATCTGCCAGATTGGTTCCACAATCTATAGGTACCGCCATGTCCCTCGCCAGGCTCATTTCTTCTGTTGGCAACACTGCTCCATCAGCACACCATACCAACGTCCCAATATATCAATTTTGAGAAGCAATTTTGAACGCTAAGTTTATCGCTTACAAAACGCCTACGTTTTCAATTATCAAAGGCAAATGCTTTTACACCGAAGCAATAGAAGCGGTCCGATTTAAGTTAGTAACTCGAAGTTTGCATTATTCGAATTTAACCACGTTAAATTGCGTATTAAGCGATTAAAAATTTTACTTAAGGCCGACGAACAATCGTAACCCGAACTTTATCAACTTACTAATATAGTAGTAACTGTTTTACGTACGATTTATGAGGGTAAACTCACGGTCAACATGTGCAAAAGCACAGAAGACTCCGCGCGGACAGTAACCAGCTTGTTGGACATCGTTGCATTTTGTGGATTTGTAGATTTCAGGATGGAACTGTTGTTCTGTACGTGTGTGACAGTACGTACAAGCATCACCTTGTTCGCAGTTCCCTGGCTCACCCCATTCCTCTCCATGCTTTACATTAGGACACGGTGTTGACCTAAAATAAAACAAAATTATAAGTAACAGGGTTCACACAATTCTCTCTTTCGCTGATAGATTATACGTATCATTTCTTACCTATACTTGTACTTGCGTGGACTACGTCTTTTATCCTTACTATTGTGATATTGTGGACAAGCATAACCTTGGCGACAGAGTCTTGGTGGACGTTTACATGGTTCTGTTTTATAATTACTGAGTACATAATTTGTATCCTGCCACTTTGGGTCTTCGTTCATCAAGTTACGCTCCTTGTCAAGTATGTTTGGTCCGTTAGAGGACGAATTGGGATCTGAATCTGGGTTTTCCAACGCTTGTATCTCTTTGATGTCATAGACAGGAGGGCGAAGATCGTGATTGCCATGTGCAAATGCACAATGAGGTCCATTCTTAACGCAAAATCCACGTGTGTCCGTGTCATGGACACACATGCAAGTTTTGTAATAGCGTAGGTGATAGCGTCTTTCTGTATCGCCAGCGGTGCGATGAAGAAATGGACACCTAAATAACAATAAATAATAATGTTAATTATTTTGAACATAAAGTGCTTCGTATTACTGTACCTAATTAATTTCACTTAATTAATGTAAATAAAATAAGCAATCGATTGAAGTAAGAAAAATTCGTATCATGGAAAAAAATAAAATCTTTCTGTGCGATATCTTTCGCCATAATAGTTTCAATGTTTTGTACGGTGCAGCAACAAGGATATTACCACGTATGTATAATTCTTTGTTGCCACCATGCCACCTAAGAGAAAATCAATATCAGTAGGCGCCTTTGTTTGGAAACTCGAGGCACTGGATATTTTGGAGGGAAAACCGATCGCGGATATTTATTTCCATCCATATGTTGTGTCCAAAATAAATATTCTATATCGCTTATCGCCTACTTTAAACGGCTTACATTGTCATGGTAATAAAATACGAAGAAACTAATTTCTTTTAAGTTTTCAATTTGTACCATTACGATCGTTTTAAAGAAATATCAATGTTTATCAACTTACTAGCAATTAATAACCGCAATATCATACAAGTATATATCACAATAAAGATTACGATAAGTGTATTCACGCACGAGTTAATTATCAATTAAAATAACGCTTACAATCTCGTGTTTTCGTGGAAAAAAAATTCCGATAACAGTTTCGAATTAATTTAATGTATTTTTAAAAATATACTTAATTGTATACGTAATTTCCTTTTTAAGAAAAACGTATGTACACAACTGAACGCGGCAAGTTATATACCGTGAGTTGATAAGAAGTACAGTGAAAACTTTTTCATTCATCTAATCTGACTAGCGATAACGCAGAAAGTTGAACGTAGAAATTATTTATAAATATCCCTGGTGTTATTTGGGATCGAATAACAACGGTTCTCAAAATGTTAATGAAACTTGTTACATTTTACGTTACTCTTAGGTAAAAACATTACATAATTATGACCTCTTGCAGCTGTACATAAACAAACCTTCGTTTATATAATTTAAATGACTGTAACCTACATTTCTATGTATTCTCTACACGCCTACCTATCGCCAAAAAGAAAAGAAGTCAATAACCTCACTGTTACATAAATATCTTTGCCTTTCATTTTCCCAGTTGTATTTTTAAATGATAAACAACTTAAGGTTTTCTATCTAACCTGTGATGTATTTTCAAATGGTTAATTATTATTAATTGAGAAACAAAATGTAATGGAAATGGACATTAAACATGGCTACGAAAGAAATTATAGTTACGATGGGAATCCATAGAGAAATTTCTGCTACGTTAGTAGGGTTATCTATAATGGATGACAACAGGTTAGCAGCCAACGATAGCTATATTCTGTCACGAGCAATGGCGGTTACGAATGTGTATAACCCATACTACGTTCACGGGAAGACAAACACGAATCGTTTTAATCTTCAACTTCAAAGTAATTGCAACATATATTACGTCCAGGAAGAAAATAACGGTTAAATAAGCGATGACTAATTTCCTCTTCGACGTAACCTTTTCATTTTTTTACCTCGCGTCCATCGAATTTAGGTCAAATTCTCACCGCGACAAGATTCACGTAACTCTATGCAACAATCAAATCTGAAAATTCTAAAAATATCTTACAAAAGTTTTTTAATACAAGCCTACATGTAAATGGCGATAAAAATACAAATGAAAACACATTGATCGATAATAATGGAATACGTAAAAAAGAAAGAAAGATGGATGATAAAAAACGGGGAATCACAAAATTGTGTTCCTATACACAGAAAGGGGGAAAAATGTGTCTCATCGTGCGGGGCAGCCTTACGATTAGTCCAAAATATGTAGTGGCTATGAATAAGCGGAAGATTACGATGAATTATGCAATTCCCAAAAAACACGTGTCAGATGAATAATAAATATGATAAATATACGCTTAACCCATTAATATCCAGTAACATATACGTAATATTTTGTTTGGCATTTTAAATAAATTACAATTATTATTCGTCTTAGCAACTTTGTTATACGCCGCCAACGTTTTAAGCGCGATCAATTCTGTTAACTACCTAATTACCTTTTAATATGTTTTCGACCTCTGGAAATTAATGGGTGAAAAATAAACGTCTTCCATGTTCTTTTTTCCTAATTCTACGTATAACATGATTATTAAAATATATTACAATCTATTCGTACAATGTATTACGGTAATAATTCTAGTAAATAAAAGTGGACACAAAATGAACACATGGGGAGATCTTTGCGAGATGCACGTAAATAGGTGAAACTATTATGGCTACGTTTACTACTTCCATGCTGCTTTCTCGCTGTATACAAAATTCAGCATGCGAAAGTGCAGCAATGTAATTTCTATATTACATCGGCCGAGTATATATGCATACACGCACGCGTGTCCTCGAAAATTACGTCGAAATTGGCCTGTTCTTCGTTACATAGGTTATTCTCGACGAGACGAGAGTTACGTCGTTACGCATTACCACGCAGATGCGCGTTACAACACACGCGTGTCAACGACACAAAGAAACACTATGAAGATCGTTTTTATTTCTCTCCCTTAATATATGTATACACATTTATTCCGAACAATATCGAGGTGTGATTTCATTCATGCTAGAAACTGATTTGCATACCATTTCCAGGCATCGAAACGAAAGGTTTACGTTTTGATAGCAGATTATACTTTTAATACGTTCATGATATGCGTGTATACGTATATACGCGGTAGCAGTAGTAGTAGTAGCAAGTAGGAAAAAAAAAAAATAATAGTAAAATAGGTGTAACCGTATATTTCGTGCAATGTTTCAAAGCAATAAAATGAAGAATAATAAACGAAAAAAAGATCGTCGTCGAGGACTGCGACACGACAAATCGATGCATCTGACACGAAGAGATTATTCACCATCGGCCGGATACTCTAGCGACGGAACGATCCTCCGCCGTCAACGGAGAAATATATAATTTATCAAGCGTTAGATAAACTTACTCGTCTCCATCTGGACATATGCCGGTGGTCTCATCGTACTTGGTGCAATAATTATCGGCGCTATAGTTGAAGGTGCGGTCCCTCTTTCTCACCGGTCTGCGCCTCCGCTGGTTCATAAAGTGCCAGTTGAAGCACGTGAAGGGTCGGTGTTGTGTGCATTTGCGCTGTATAAAGAGGGGACATTGTTCGACGCGAAATTCCTTCAAGTATCTGGAATGCGAATCCACAGAGCTACACATTATTTCGTGGCGTTTTTTAACGCGCGCGTCGATGCCGCGCTGCTCGCGGCCCTCCCTCTTTTTCCGTTCTCTTTTCTTTTTTATTATTATGTGTATGGTATTTATTTATTTACGTATACGTATTATTACTTTCTTTTCTCTTTTATGGAATTTTCGTTTTATATTCACTCCACTTTTCTTTCCGATCACGCACTTTATTTTTTGGCCTCTCTGATTTTGATCTCACTTTTTTCTCACGTAGCACGCGACCGGCCCGGCGGGCGCTTACTTACGTGTAATGATTCGCCTTTTCCGCCTGAGCTGTCAACAAAGGTTTAGAGTCGGACTTCATCTTGGACAACACAACCGAGCTACGCGCGCGCACACACACGGACGTACAGGCGAACGGCACTCTCTCTCGTCTTTCTCGTCGTCCTCGTCGTCGTAGCCGTCGTTGTCGTCGTCGCTTAGTCTGTTTTTCGCCCCTTTTCCCCGCTAAACCTCTACCATCTATCGGGCACGGAATGCAGGACATAGGGCGCGCACGGCGCAATACACATTATATGCGCCTCGACTATCCAATCCTTGTGCTCCCTTCTGGTCACGTGATTGTTCCTCTTTCAAGGTCATTGATGTTTTGGTTCGCTCGCACGTAAACACGCACTATTTACCAACGCCGGTATTATGCCTGAAAAATCATTCGACACTCCCTCGAACGACTCTTCTTTATTTTGATAACCTAAAATGCTTTTTAATTCTTTATTTCTTCCAGAGAGGAAAAATGAAGGATGTTGAAAATGCAACGATCGATTCTTGACGCTCGACCTCGATCGAGTTCCGATTCTGTGCTACGTTCTCACTGATGTCGATTCTGCAACGTGTAACCGTGTCTTTTGCAAAAACCGACCACCTCTTGATTTTCAGATACCTTTTATCCATTAATATATCTAATTATTATTATGTTTTCCTTGCAGTAATATCTTCTTCATATATTACTTCCTACAGCCTTCAAAAATGAATTTATGCATGTTTGTATACATTTTTTAACGGCTTCTTCGTTATCCAATAGGCAACTGTATTCTGTCGTTCAAACACGTTTCATTTTGATATTTCACTTTTTTCTTTAATTCTATGATACAATAAAAACTGTTTACACTTCAAGAGAACGTAATTTTCTGACGAATACTTTTCTCAATTTCTATTAGTTTCTAAAAATATGAAATCATAGCCACGCATGGATATGACTAACGCGTTTATTTTCCTCATCGTAAAAATACGTCTCTGATTATGTAGTTTTAATAATATCAATTTTATTCACACTCACTTTCACTCCTACACCATCCTTATTTCAAACTACATTATTTCTTTGATCACTGATCTTACGCATTTCACAACTTCGTCTTCATAACACAATCTTGTATATCATGTATATCACAGGCACCTTTACTTGTCGTCAATATAAGTTGTCATGATAAATGTTACGCGTATGAATTATCTCTTATCGCTTCTTTATAGCGATCTCGTATACATATTTAAACACCTGTGTTGAGTACGGTCAGCTTCAATATATTTTTTCCTTTATGACGATTGTCTAAACTCGTCTGACCACGTTTCGTGATTTTGTAAACCGCGAATGTGCAACGTTTAACACGACCTTGTCGCGCACCACCGATTTCGCTTACTTCCCCCTCTTCCTTGAATAAAATATGATATATTCTGTATTTTATCAGTTGTTAAGGCTTATTGTTCTTTAAATAAACATTTTATCAATTGAGTGGCATTTGTTGTATAACTTTTTATGTCATGCCTCTTCTTTTGCGTAAACTATTAAAAAATTTACAATTTCCGCTCAAACAATATGTATATCAGGAAATGCCATCTTTCTGAGCATGCGCAATTATGGCTTCTTAAGGCGTCAAATTTTACGACCAATCAAAATAAAAATACGCAACAAATTTTATCTATAGTACATGTCAATTGAATCATTATCATTTTTGTTGCATTTATTTAAATAAAATTTAATGAAACCCTTTTGATGAAAATATATTAATTCATCATTAAATTGTAAATTCGACAATTTCATGATGGAAGTTTGTAAAAAATAATTAAATGGGTAAAGATGAGAGATTATCAATTTTTCTTTCATCATATTTATGTTTAATGTGTACAAAAACGTAAAGAAATGCAGTAATTTTAAGGAAAATGTCTACATACAATCATTTCAAATGTATAGTTGATAAAGACACAATTCAATTGTATTATAAATAAAAATCTGCAATGAAATATAATCCCTACAAATAAAATTTTGCACTGTTACATTATCCAGATACTCTTATATTACGCAATCATACTTTTGTACAGCTTAAAGTTCAATAAAATTTGCTAAAAACAAAATTTATGTCAAATAGGAGCAATAGCATGACAATCCTAAATAATGTATTTGAAATTAAATTTCAGTTTCTATGTGAATTTATAACTATAGTTATGACTTTAAGTTTGTTGCTGGTTTCAATAATATTGCAAATGTATATTAGTTTACAACTTATTTGACTTTGTACAATTGTCTACTGTGTATTTAAAGAAAGTCTTGTATGCTAACATACCTAGACACAAACTAAATGTGAACCATTCATCAGACTGATAAAAATATAATGTCTTTACAGTATATGAAAATAATACACATTTGGTTTGTACGTATGCATGTTTGATTAATGCTACATTCATGATACAATATTTCCTACAATTGGTAGATTTATAATAATACACACTACTGATTCCTTTTCATCATGCATCATTCTCTTTTTATAAGAAATAATATCTGAGTATTTTGTTCTGTTTTTTTCCTTAGACTTATCTTTGTAATCATGGATAATCCTTTGAAACATTTAGATTATAATTTCTAAGATTAATGTTTATATTGCCACTGAAAAAATGGTATATATTTATATGTATATATTTTATTTATGGAGCAGAAAGTTATTAACAGCAGTTACCTTTTAAAATTATGTTTCAAAGAATTAACAATCATAATCATTACTTTTAACGTTAAAAAATAAAATTTACAAAATATGTGAATTACACAAACATTTGTTCATTGTTATTCAATTAATCCTGAATTATGTAACACAAGAACTTTTATAACCAGTGTATTTTCTCGTTAACATAAGCTGTTTAATTTTACATATTGCATCATTCTGTTTGCCATCAGATATACTTAGGTTTGCACTAATTTTGAGCACTCCTTGGATGGATATTATGCAATTAATAATTAACTGTATAGTTATTGAGAACTATAACAGTATTTTCATTGGATGTTCTCTCTTGGATGGACTTATACATATGTATGTTACAGTAGTAAATTCCAAGGCAATTTTAAAAATGTGCCTTTTCTTTAAAAAATGGAGCGCTTAGTTTCTTATCTATTATTTAATTTGACAGCAAACAAAGACTGGTCAAAAAGTTGTATAATCGTTTTATCGCTTAACGTTTCTATGGTTTACGACATCTAGATTTAAATATCTATCATAGAAGATTTTCATCGGATTTTATTTAATACTTTTTAAAATTCTGATTAATTATTATTCTGTATAATGTATTTTTCAATTGCATTGAGACATAGAATTTAAACAAATAATTTCGGCAAAACATTACAACTGGTATTAATATATATTGTGCGATTTTAATTATTATAAATTTCAAGATTGTATAACGTTCGTTTTATATTATTGAAATTTTTCACTTTCATAGTATGTCTCAACACTTTCAATATATGTATAGAAGACATTATTCGTTATAGTTGAATTTCAAATCTTGCACTACTTTTACAATAGAAATACATAGTATAATTAACTTATATATATATCAACAATATTGGGATTAAAAACAACGAAGAATACAGTTAAACAATAATCAGGAGGATGTTTACAATGACTAAAATATTTCATTCAATTAAAGAGGTCATTGTTACATTTGTAATTTAATTTTGAAATGAAATGAAAATTTGATAGTTAATAGTCCTAATTATCATAAGAATTCGTTCATTGGTGTTTGTATATATATATTACAAAATAGTGCAAATTAATTGTAACTGGAGTTAATGAATTACTGTCAGATTATATGATATACTGGCAGCATGAAATTTTTATAAATGTTTTGTAGAGTGAAATAACCTTACGACTTTATCTTTCATGAATTATGTAGATATTGAAAGAGAGCAAACTTTTACATATTCATTTAAATGGCCTTTAGCGTAAACAACAAGAAAATGTCTTTGAAATATTATTACATTAACAAGTTTATTTATACAATTAACTACCTATATACAATATATTAATAAGAATGTTGTATAATTTTTTTAACGTAGATTTGAAGAGGCTTTTTTAGAATGGTGTTTGCCATTTATATGCTAAAATTCTAATTATTTCTTCTGCTTTATAATCTGTATACATAAAAGTTATGAATCGGTAATGACATCCCAGACTTCGCAGATGAGCATTCTATACTTATCATTATTATCAACCATGAGTTTTTATGTAATTTTCGTACGAATGAATATTTTAAATGGTAATCACTGATTAATTATAAACTAATCAAAGATCAATACAAAGATCAAAACAGAAAAGATAACATGCTACTGCGGTGAAATCGATATCAGTATATTGATCAGGTATACATAACAATATGTAAATTAATGTAAGCTTTACTAAATATTTAATAAATGTTTTTCTTATGCTTGATTTTATCTAGTAAAATTTTGATATATTTTTACGCATTTTGTGCCACATTCCAATACGATGCTTATTAAAACTCTAAGACATTACTATCTCTAAAAAAAATTAAAAAATTTGTTCGTAGCTGTTGAATATAAAACAGTTGAATATAATACATTCTCGAGTGTAATTAAATTGTACCTAAAAAACGATGTTGATAAAATAAATTTTAGAAATTTAAATGAAAGTAGGTTTCGTAAGTAGGAAAATTTGACTTGATCTATCTCACAAGAATAGAAGTCAAACGAATAAATGCAAATTTATCGTTTCGACGAAAGATGTCAACTAAACTTACACTGGTTTCCTTTTTATAATAATTATTCGTTTCTACTCGCACCTATTATGTATAGTATATTTACCTGGTGTTATAAGTAAATTTAATTCAAACAGTTGTTCCGTACGTACTGAACATCACTCTGGTGGTATCGGTGTCCAGAGTAACGTCTTCTGGAGATGCTAGATCGACTTTTACAGATCCAGAATTGTTTCTTCTTCTAGTCATACCACCACCCCAATTCGATAACGTCCAATGATACGTTTCACCTTCTTTCTCTGTATTCGTGGTTTCTTGCGTTTCGTTATCTTTGTCTAAGCCAGTTTCGACAGAAACTGAAGAATGAGAAGCTACCGAATCGAAACTAGAATCCGCAGCTCCTCTGTAACGACTAACGTATTCGCTAGACATTTCACCGGGAGATTCTTCTATTGCTTTCAATATATTCTGACAAAGTTCAGAATCAAGTGGAATCGGATTTTCAGAATCACGATTGTGAATGGTAACAGCTATATGAGCTGGATGTGGAATAGGAAGTGGAATAAGCAACTTCTCAGCACTGTAAGGACGAATCTGTCGTTTCCATGGCTGCCAACGCGCTTCCGTAGTACCATTTGATGATGTTGTGCGTCTTCTAATTTTCGTTGACGTCAGAAGTCCTCCAGTATCACTGGAAAATAAATAATTTTCCATAAAATGTTGAAGATGTATCGACGATGCTACTCAAAACATTGTTTACCATCGTTTATCAGATTTTCTACTATTACTGGTTTGTTTAACCCGTGGATTAAAAGCTGAAACTTCTAAGTAAGGGCTGTAAACTTGTATATTTCCACGTGGTGCATAAACGGCCCCGAGTAAATCTGGCCCATTGGTACCACCTAGTTCAGTACTGTGAACCATGTCGGTGTAACGCGACAGGTCGACACCAGGATGAGGTTCTAGCCTGAACTTTGTGTCTGCGTCATCAAGGGGTTGAAGAAAATTTAAACTAAAAATATCTGCATACATAAGTCCAGCCAAACCGGCCCAGTCACCGACACTTAAACCTTTGTTTTCCCAGAAATCTTCTTCGTTTCCTGTCAATCTGGCGAACACGTGGGTAGGATAAAGGCGTTCCAACATGAGAGCCCCCTGTTGTATCACCACCTATGTATCATTAACATATGTTAGTACATTTAATATTATAAAGAAATTGTAAAGAATCAATACACCGTTCGACAAACAATTACTTTCAAATCAAAGGTGGTCAATTTTATTTTACTTCTCACAACCATTCCAAGACCAGTTTGTAAATTTTTCCTACGTCTATCTAATTTCTCGTGTAATACAGCGATCAGATCTTTGGCTTCCTTTTCAAGCGATTTGTACGGATCTTTTGTTTTGGCAAGGCTAGCAGCGAATGGACCGAAACACGCCTCCACGAATTGAGTAAAATCTCTTTGAGGTTGGGTAATTAATCGTTCTGTTTCTTGCTGGAATGCTAGCAATTCGTCTAGCTCTAGTTTAGCTTCGAACGCAGCTAATGCTTGTTCAGGTCTAATCTATAATCAACAATGAGATATACTTAGTTCTAAGATTATTTTAGCTTACAACGTGTAATACATACTTGATAGTAATAATCAGATGTTAACCCTGGTCCAGCTATTCTTTTAACCACAAAACTATCACTGGCGGGAATACGACCCCTGTTCTTTATTACTAAATGGAACATAGTCGTGTCCCAGACCACTCTAATCCAATAACGTATCACAGCAACTACATGTAACGTTATATCTTGCATGATTTTTACTGAACTTACATATACTACACACTAAATCAACGTGATTATAGAGAAGAATTCATACCTGTAAGTATCACAAAAGAAATGATGGGGCAAAAAGTAATAGCTACAATTAATGCTGCGAGCGGTTGTAGACACCCTTGTATACCAATATTCCAAACTAATGCTTCCATAATGACCAAGTACCGATTTCTACTTGGTTCTGGACTATCCAAATCCATGATGAGCGCCATGAATGCATGCAGTGCCAAAGTAATCAAAGGCATCCTAAAATATTTTAACAAGCAATCAGTATTTCACAATGAATAAAGTATGTAACACGATTCACGTACCACAAAACCGCGGTAAGTGCAATGAGGAGTGATCCTAAACTGGTAACTATACACACAATAGGAAAAACAAATAATATGATGAGTGTTCCTAGGAGTCCTTTTACGCCATAATTCCATAACCTGTTTAAATGCCTCGTCATTCCTTTTCCAATAAATCCTACCAGAAAATAGCAAGTTAACAAACAAACGAGTAATTACATAGATTATGAATTGTAACAAATTTACCAGTATCCGGTTCAGTTTCAAAATGTGTTCGACTCTTGCTAATATGTCTCCAAAGAGCGATTAAACGAGAACAAAGTGTGGGCATTTGAGAGGATTTTCTGGGGAATAAAGTTCCATTCAGTTGACTCAATTCTAGATCAGGGGTGAAGGGTTGCACGAGCAACAAAGCTCGTATGGAAACTGGACTACACCATGGTACAGCTACACCTAATAAGAACATTGCATTCCAAGTCCAACACCATGTTCTAGCAACATAATTGATCCAACGCCACATAGGCCACCTACGCAAACGTTTTACAATGAATTAACTTTATCATAGTGTTAAGTACAATTATTTTATTGCAATATACCTTGTTGTCGTTGTATGCACGATTTCTCGTTCAACTAAGAAGACTGGTTGACTTGGATCAGCTCGAGGCGTCGTAATAGATGTCGGAGTATTGCTCAGCACCGTTGGTATGATCTCAGACTGGCCTTGGAAATTACGCCTGACGATCCAATTTTTTGGAAGCCATATTTGAGTCGGCCATTGGAAGCTCCTAGTTGGGGTTTTTACTTTTCGCAATTCTTTCAACAAAACTGGCTCTCTCTAAACAAGAATACACATTACGAGCAAAGGAAACATAAAAAAGAGAAAGTATTTTAAATTTAATGTACCTCCTTCATAAACGTCAAATCACGATTAAGAAAGTAAACCGTTTGTTGCAAATTTTGATGAGTACACAGTGTAAGGGCTTCTTCGTGGGCACTCCATTCGCATTCTTCTATAAACTTTTCCTCGACCTCTCTCATCCTGTCACGCATCCAAGGTTCTATTCGCGAAAGAACTGGATGCTCGTCTTCCATATGACGTCTCAGTGATTCTTTAGTCTGCAGTAATTTACGCTGCACCGTTTCTATAGCTCGATGCATCAATACGACGGATTGCGCTTGTTGAACTAAAAGTTGAGCAATTCCGTTACCGAGATCGAGTATGTCCGGGTGCGACAAAATATTAGAGAAAACCCTTTGCAGGTACTCTCTCATAACAGCTTCGTTGACTTCCTAAAATTCATTGCTCGCAATAAATATGTATAATACTGGATGAATGGATTTAATTATTGTCAAACTCTTCCTACTCTTTCAATTTCTTCATCCGGCTTTTTTCGAGCTCTCAATTCTGATATCAGTCTTTCTCTGAAATGAAGAAACCAGCCTCGTGTCTCTCTCTCCAAAATAGAAACTAAAATCGGTAAAGCTTTTCTGATAATGTCTTTGCTAAATAATCTAAGATCAACCACTGCTCCGCCAGGCGTTCCAAACACGAAAGGAACCGGGATTGGCAACAGCTGCGACAGTTCTCTTTCAACTTCGAATTTCTCCATAGTGGCTCGTCGAAGCTGTTTCCGGACGAAACCGCACAGAAGCTCCAACGAGTCTTCGTACTCCGGCTGGAAAATGTATATACACACATATATATATATATATATTTTTGTAAGTTGTCACCTGAAGAATTGGAATCACTCAACATCCATTATCTCCTCGGTGATCATTGTAAAATAAATTTACCCTGCACACCAGTTCAGCGACCAAGTATCGACACCTCTCTTCCTTGATTTTGGCATCTAAATTGTGTGCCTGAAGCGAGGGCACGCCAATTACTATATCTAATTAAAAAAGCAAGATACATTAAATCAGAAAATGCGAAGAGTAAATCTCAAGGATATTCAATGGTTTTTTACCAAGAAGCCGTAAGAGTCCTGTTAGCAATGCCTTTAAAGATTGAGAAACGCTGAAACAGTGAGAGACCAGTCTAGCTTTGGCTGTAACGACAAGAAACCTGGTTGCCAAAGCAAGATCTCGAAGTAACGCATCTCTCCTTCTGTCTCGTCCACGTTGAAGAAGTCCACTCAATCGCCATCGGTGCGTTTGTCCAGTAAAATTGATGGAATCCACTTCGAACTCCCTGAAAGATCAGTCATGTGTTAGAATTATTAATCTTGGGGTAAAAGGGTGAAAGGGGTCCAGAAACAGAACGTGAACGTCTACTTATTGTAAACGAAACAGTAACATGTTCCATGGAATACGTGAAAATATAAATTTCATTAATCCTTTGACCGTGGAAAGGTTTACTTCTTAACTATTTACAGTGAGCGTGTTACAGTCAAAGGATTATGAGGGACATCTTTCGTGGAATATGTTAATAACAAAAATATCCTGAAAAATATATGAAAATCTGTTTCGATGACAGGAAATCTGTACATTATTGCAATCTGTCGATTCGTTACCTTTTCTACCCTGTTTTCATGGTGCCAAAGCTACTAAAAGGGATTGATTGCTATAATACAAGCACACTAATGTTGTGGGTACAAAAAAAGACAACCTACACCATTAAAATGTACTCTAACAACTTAGATTGTGTTACATTCATGCGGTGTAATAATTATTACATATTTGTTAGAAGCTGCACTGAGTTTGTGAAACCTCTGCATAAATTAAACCATAATAATTTTCTGTTGACAATGATTTACACATTTAATGATGCGATGGAAAATAATTTCAAGGATCATCATGCTGTTTCGTGTCCTGTTTACAATTTCAAAAGGGAGAATAATCGTTTCTCTGATCGTTGTAGTTGTGAAGAATGATCCTAAGTTATTGTACAAGGCGTGGTATCGATAATTAATTCTTTTGGGTGAATTTTGTGTGCATGTGTCGACGTGTGTACGTGTGTGACATACCCGCATCTTCGAATGCTCTCCAATTGAGTGGCATTCAGCTTCTTCGGTTTTCCGTACTTCTCCTTCTGAAAGCTTTACAACAAATTGTTAGAAAATATCAGACACAACGTTCATCGTGTGTTCGAAAACCAGACAACAATTCAGGGTACTGCTTTTACTTATTGGAAGCTAATATATATATATATATATATATATTTTAATACCACGGTTGACGCCAATTGAGGATTCAATGATTCAGCATAGATAATAAGAAAACGAAGAATTTCATTGGACGAGAAATGCTTCTAATGCAAGTGCGTTCCCTGTACCCTAAGAAAAGGCATTTTTTTATCTTAAGCCTTGTACACGTTAGTGGATAAATGTATATTCGCAATTATTCGTACGCTGTGCTCAAATATATCTAATATCTAACTCTAAGGGATACAATTACTATTTCTCGTGTTTTACTATGTCTCGAAGCGCTTGTAGTTCAAACATCAATGTCATTGATCTATGAGTTGCAATGATTATGAATGACTGGTCTTGAAACGTACCATCAAATGATCTGAAAAAAATATACAGTTCCATTAATCAATACCCAATACAATAAAGTGTGTTAATAATTTTTTTCCAATCATTCACACATTGCAACTGCTCGATTACACTGAAGAGAGCTTAAGAATTCTGATACTACGTCTACCTACAAAGATAGAGAGAAGAAATACTCGAATGAAATTAATCCAGAATACCTACCCTCGTTTACTGATGCTCTCCAACTGCTTCTTGGTCAACCTCCTAGGTTCACCCTTGCTATCAACGGCGACTGAATCAAGCTCGTCAAAGCTGGGTGCTACAAACAAATCCCTAAGATGGTGTTTCTTCCTAGCAAGAGTGTCTTCGCCCTCCGTGCACGTGGACAACGGAGGAGGAAGAACGATGGGGAATGTTCTCCAGTGGTAGAGGAACTGTTGCGCAACCTCCTTGATGTTATGCACCAACGCCTCGACTTCAGCCGGTGCACCCCGCAGATGCGACGTGTCGAATTCCACCGGCTCTTTCTGCGAATACAATTCTTTTTAATTTCATCATTTTCTTGCGGAGATTATAATTGTACGTCTGGATTTCTAATGGTTACCGAGATAAATCTTCTGTGATCACTCTGTATACTTACCAATTTCAAAGAATGAGACTAAACCAATTATTTTTTATGCTCTAGAAACGCTGTGCTATGCACGCCTAATGAATAATTAACAATGAACTGTTACAAAAGAGATTGTTTCTCTTTTACAGAACAGAAACTAAAACTTTCCAACGAAATGACATATTAAAATTTGACTCTCTCTCTCTCTAAAAAAAAAATACCCTTTTTTAAATTCTCCGTCACAATGACAACGATTAAAGGATCTCTTTCATAAGATAGACCTCGATCGACGAACAACGGGTTCATTCTTCGAGTCTGTTGAAAAGCAGGCACGCGTATGAGGATCTCTCTCCCGCTCGGTTGGTCGTTGAGAAGTGTTGATGGAATTTTCATTAGAATCTCTAAGGGACGAGGGACAATACCTCTGGCTGGAGTCCATCTCCGTTGGGTCGATGATAAGGGTGGTGATTGTAGGGCTGGTGATTCGGTCCCGTGTTGGCGGAGTTGACGGAAGCTGAGTTCAAATTGTGGGGCATCTCGCGCGTGAAAAGCGTGCGCGGTGGCTGGGGTCAGCTGCCCCGTATTCCTACTATCTCTTCATACACCATGCTGCTGGTAGCCACCATTTATCATTCCACGCTCTGCACAATTCAATTTATCCTTAGTCTTATTCGCTCTATCCTTGATCCTACGAACATTACAAATAATCAATATCAATTGGAAACATTGAATTTTTAAAGTAAACACGCGGTAACTTAACAGGATTTGTCAAAGTCTATCACGGGTGGCTGATATTTATAAAATTTGCAAGTTTCAGGCCCCGTATGTTCATGTAGAAACGCTGAAGCATTTAACTGGATGCTCAAATAAATATCTTCCACAGTAAACGGAATAGGGTTTTTTAAAAGAGAAGCATCATCATCCAGCACGTATGGAGGCTTCGACTGAATGCAGACTCCCATTAACCGATTATACCCCATTATACGATTAACATTCTGAGCATTCCATTTCTTGTCCGCTCTGGCTAACCGACATGTGCGTTGAATAAAATCTACTTTTACGTGAAACGAGATTACCCATTCTTTCCTTCCTTTTTCTTTTTTTTTTTTTAAGAAGAAACAAGGCGAGGAATAGAAAGCTTTTACTGAAAAATAAAACAATAGTATTTTCAATAATTTCTCGATTATTGCCTTATATCACCACCTACCTAAGCGTACCCTTGACTCTACTCTTATCAACAGGAATTACAATTACGGTGCTCTATTCGATGTTAAAAATATCGGAGAATCTCAGGTGAGAGAGCTGAGCTCGTAATTACGGATCGTAATTATCCAGAAGTATCATTCTTTTGTGCCAAGAAAAGATCCTTAGAAGGGACCTCGTATTGTTCTCTGCTGGCAGAGTACCAACGTCTCACGTTTCCCGTTGGTACAACGATATCACCGTAAGCCTGGAAATCATCTGAATGCCATGAGCTTCCTGTCGTTTAAAACGATCTACGTAGGTTGATACACCCTGAGGAAAAGAAATGACAGGTGGTTATATTAAATTTCTATTCGAATAAGAGATCGATCAATGCAATTTCTGGAACACCTCGCTCGAGAGCGCGAGTTGCAGTCACGAACTGTAATGAAGTCGAAAATGATATACGACCTGTTCGGAGCATTGATTTATTCAAATTTTTAAACTTGGGGGGGATTAGAAGGTAGAGCCACCCTATGAAGAAATTAAGAAACCCTTTTCGTGAATAGTGATATCGATGAAATTAGCTGTTTAGCGAGCTTGATGGTACTCTAGCGATCAAGATTTTTCCTCGCACGAATCGCATGTTGAAAGCAACGTGCTACGTGTATTACAAGCACAGACTGGAATAGCAGCAGTGTTTTAAGGTTACCAGAGCTTGCAAGCTTTTGAAGTGGGTCAAAAGCCAGCGCTCGCCAACCTACTTGGAACGCATTCGAGCGAAGTCGTAAATATTCTTTCCTGGCGAAGCTCCGTGCTGACTCTAACATCAACACTAACAAAAGTCTGACGCGATTTCAAGTATAATAAAAATGAATGTATAAACGATCCATCGATATTCTTAATAGAAAATGAATGGATCAACCGCGGTTATCATTTATAAGTTTGCAAAATATACGCGATGAACGAGCTTCGTTGCTTTCCATTAAATCAGAGACCAACGTCACGGTGCATAAAATTACAAGAAACGTGGTGTAACGCGGCAGGAAACTGCATGCGTGTGCACCGCAAGTGCATAAAAAAAAAACAAAAAAACACGTGACAAAGTATACATAGACGAAACGTGTACATAAGTTTATGCAGCAGGTACATAAAAGAGAGAAGTACACTCCATTGTCGAGTTCTCTAGTCTCATTGCAGTTCAGATGCATCACCTTGTGCAACGTTTGAGTTTGGAAAATGTTTGGGTGGGTTAGTCCCCTTAACATTTAAAAATTTTCAAATTCTACAATTCTGAAACTCATCCAAGCCCATTAAAAAATCATAGATAAACAATGCTTCCTTCAGACGACTGAGACACATTAAGAAAGAGTGTAGTGAAAGAGAGAATCTGCTGGTGCTGCGAATACGGGTCACACTCGATAGGAAATGCAAAGGGGGAGCCGGGATATTTCCAATAACGATTCCTCTCAATCTGGAGCATTGGTGCTCGTTATCCGGCCAACGATTACTCGACTTTGCCAAAGGAACAAGACTCCCCACCGTATACTCCCAGATATCGTCAACAGCTTTTTAATAACCAGCAAACACATAAACGGGATCGCTTATCGTAAATAGAATTTTTTACATTCTCACTCGAGTGACTCTTTATCAATTCCATTAAAGCATTACGAATGCGGTTTATCGGTGCATTGGAAAATTGAAAATCATTTTCATTTCCTAATCCTAAATATAAGACGACGCAGAGAAGCGCGGATACGGAGACCAATTGCAATATGGATCCATATTTCTATCCCTCCCATTTTAATACATTAATTCAAGTTTCAGCGTTTGTTATGCATCGACAGAAGATAGAATGAAATAGTTAAAGCCGAAGCGGCAGACAGAAGGATGTTATCGATTTCACGGTGAAATATGCATCCCGAGCGAAACAGTCGGAAGTAGAAAAATTATCAAGAGAATTGCATAGGGAGGAAGATTCCTCTCTCGTTTCTTTTCATACATCCGTAGGGTGAAAACCACTTCAAACATTAACACCGACGCGTCGGTTCTCCTTCTAAAAAGACGTCATCCTGCAGCAATGATTTCAACGACGACTATCTAGACATACGAGTTTCTTTACTATCAGAAGTATCATCCTCTTATTTCTATTCCAATAAAATTAATTAATCGCTAATGTCTATCATTCTAAAGCAAAAGTTTGCAAAACGAATCGGAAAAAAAAAACACTCCTCCTCCTTCGAAGCCCAAGGGCAGACTGATTGGTATCCGCGCGATGCAAGCGGCTTTATCAGGTGCACCTGGCCCATTTACCTAGGGCCGAAGTAACAAGCCCTGTAATTGGCGGAATGCAACTGATTAGACAAGAGCAGCTATCTGATTGGTCTGAAGTGTTTAATCGGTAGGACTGTTGTTAAAATAACGTATTGTAATATGACTGGTACCAGTTTATTTTCCTCGTAAAATTCTCGTAAACCTAGCGTTGAATTTTTCTAATAATTTTCAATGGAAATACAGCATTAACGTTTCTAGAAAAAGCTTTCTGTCCACTCTTTTTGTGGAATAAGTAGCGAAACGTGTTCGAGTGTGCGTGCCTAAACTCGATCCCTAGCTATCGACCGTCGGATATAATACCCTCGGGGATGTAAGCAGCCTCCTATCAAACGAAAGCAAAAGGTGATGTGCCCTATAGGGAAATCGATGTTCTCCCTACAGAACCACAGCTCGACTTTGGCTAACTAAAATCTCAATTAGCGGTAAAAGGATTGGTTAATTGAAAATTTTGATGAGTGGCTAAATTTCAAATTACAATCCTACCCTCTGAATATTAGAGTGCGAAACGTAAACGTGACAGAGTGTTGACGACACTGTGGGAGTGGTGCAGGTGCACATATGTATATCCAGGCAGATTGGATAATGGGACCTTAACGACATAACGGAATGCAGTGTGTGCACACAGCGGCAGTGATATTGCGAAAAAGAGAGACACGAAACGTGTACATTGAAAGAGTAGACCGGATTTAAGTGTCGTTTCCAGCGGGCTGATCCTGTTTGTCCGAACATACTGAAACACCGACGTTCTTTCTTCGACGATGCTGAAATCACCGCGACGCCTCGCAGAAGCCATTTAACTAACTCCTACGCGATGCTAACGAGACTTTACTCGCGGAGTATTTTTAATTAAGTTTCGAGGAAACGCGTATGGTCGTAGTTCAGCCATTCTAAACGTAGTCAAAATTGATCTACAACTGAGATCCTCGTCCTCGCTAATATAATAATCTACCTAGTTACGATCGCAAAACAACAATAGATAAAAAAAAATAAAAAAAAATAAAAAAGAAAAGCAGACGCATGAAACGTATACGAATTTAAAGGAACCCGATCCTTCCGCGTTCCGGTGGATCGTTTCGAATTAAACGACCGCTTCCGGCAAAGCTCGGTTATCGCGTTACGTAGACGAAAAATCCAGCCGACGAGGAAATACAAGTAGAGCTCCGGTCGTGCATCATCGAATTCGAATAAACTCGATCCTTCCGCGTGTTGTCGCATCGTCTCCCCTCATTTGCATACGACCGCCATCGATTCATAGAAACTGTAAGGTTCAACACGCGTGCGCGATATACACGCACGTCGGTATAACATGGTCCTGGGTAACAATGTCAGCCTAGGGTGAGAAAGTGCACCCTAAGGGTCGCATGCACTTTTGAATCGCGCTAGATTGTACGGACTCGTGAAATCAGCTGGGGCGACGACCACTCTTCTGCAGCTATAGGGTGTCTGATACTCTTTGTGTCTGTCTCTTCTTTCTGTATCGAGTTTCTTACCACCACGCGTGTTACGTATAAATATCACGCTGTTTTACATCGTACAAAGGTCAATTTTCTTTGTATAATTCTATGTAAATAAAGCGCTATGTTATAGTATTAATTTTGTAGAATCGATGGTGGAAGAAGAGTATGTAGTCGAAAAGGGGTACGCCAAAGAGCTCGTTCATTTTGAATATTAAAACTGGCATTCTGTTGTCGTCGTTCTCGTCGAAGCGACGATGCGTGAAATGTTGAAGAGGCTGAATGTCAATACGACCTACCATCAACGTACTCCCTTCTTGATTACTACTAATTACAATGATGATCGTATGCAAATTTCCAAAATCACTTGAATATACGAAGATTAACTGAATCTCTAATTAAGAATAATAAATAGAATTTAGATGACTTATAAAATTAGTTAATCTTCAAAATTCAAGCTTTCTATTTCCTACTTTGCAGTATTATTAATCTAACGACCTATCTAATATTCCTAATTTCCGTTAGACTATTTGAATTTCCTATTATTCACGCTTTTAAGTAGGTTTCGTAGCCGAGCCCGAGGGACACTTTTCCCTCTAAAAACGGAGTTTCCTTGGCGAAAATACGGACGCTTCTACTGTTCCACGGTTCCTATTCGTTCCACTGGGAAAACCGATATTTTCTTCTGCTTTTTTTCTCTCCCGGTTACAACGGGGTCGTCGATTTTCCCGGGAGCAAAAGCGACCACGTGGTATCCCTCCAAAAAAGAAAAAAAAAAAACCAAGAGCCAAGAGGAAGATGGAGAACTCGTGCAGTCGGGGCTTTGCAACTCTGAATGCTTCCACTTCATGATTCATCCATTCGTTTCTGTTTCCATCGATTTTTCTCTTCATTTTCTGATCCCAAATCGCCGTCTATACATCCTTGCATCCTTGGGTAAAATTATTAAGTTCCTGCATGTAAAACAGTCTAACGCAATTTCATGACGTGAAAGTTCTACGAATTCGTAGTATATTTATGAAATCTAGAGGACTGAATGTTAGGAAACATTTCCACGAGAACGTTTTGTACATTTTTATTTTCCCTCGAAAAGTTTCATCCACAATTCTGTAACTCGTAATTACACAGCTTCTATCCGTCTATCTGTATTTTGTCATTCTCTCGAACTTCCAAGCTTTTCGGTTGTTGTTGGGCTGGTAAAAAATTGGCCGACTCGTTAGATCGTACTTCGCGTGACCCAAAATTTACCACGATACGGGGAACACGTTAAATTTATAGAGTCGAAATGGAAATTTTATCTTCCCGGGCTTTTGTAAATTAAACGCGAAAGAAGCTATCTTTGGAAAATTAATTACAGGTAATTACAATCGAAGCTTTATGAGAAACTTAAAATCAAAATTAACGGTTGAAAGTTATGTAGATATGTAGGAAAGCATAAATGTAGTAGAATCTCCAGGAGGCATGATTAGGAAAGAATCATATGGAATGGAACACGTGTTACGGTCGCCGGACACGTGGTGAACGACATCATCAACGACGCAGAAAACGAAAAAAAGAAAAAAAAAGAAAAGAAAAACAAATTGTAGTGACGCGTGAAGGATGTGAAGCAGGATGCATAAATTGCAGGCGCTCTTATTCGGGACGCGACTGGTGCGTCAGCAGTAAATTCCAAGTTTCCAATTCGCAATAAACCTAGTACACAAGTTTCCTAATTCAATATACCCTCCTCCACCCCTTTGACTGATGATAAATTCTGCAATTTCGCTATTCGATTTGTTACTTCAATGTGAAATTAATGGTTCTTCCGGCTTCCGTTTTCTATTTCGATCTATCTGCTTCAAAATTTTGTCATTTATTTGTATTAAACACTCTATTATTTGAGTCAGTAATAGAATTAAATTCAAAAATATATCGAACGATTTATCTAACTCGATATATCGAAACTAACGATATTATCGATAATACATATAACGAGATATTATTCATATATCGAATTATCGATAGCAGAAAAATACTGTAGGAAGTAATTTGAAAAACAAATACCGGATGTTCTTTTCTTTATTTCTATGTTATTTTACCCAGACGACACCATTCCGTTTTCACGTGATAACGTTGGCATAGCACGAGATCGATTGAACGGTAGATATAACATGTATACACGCACATCTATATCTGTAGATGTATGGTGAACACAAACGTCATCACGAAATCAGCAACAGAATCTAAACTCTTTTTCTTTCTTTATTTGTAGATAGGAAAATGTATTAAATATGAGTGCCCTGCGTAGTTTGAAAAGACAACGCCCTTTTCGTTAGCAAAAGAAAAATTGGTAAATTTTTAACTACCCTGAACAACATTGTCTACAGCCAGTTTTATACCTTACTCGTCCTTGATCTCCTAACCTGTGTAAACATACCAACATCCGAGCAAAAGGAAATATGTTTTAATAATCCTGGCACGCCATCTTTTCGCGGTCACTTCAAAACTGCTTTAATTATGCGTGAAACATTTATTAAGACCTTGTTTAATTGTTCAGATTGTCATTGTAAATTTTAAAATGAAAATAATTAGATAATTGTCAGAAATTCTATGGAATAGAAACAATGAAAAAATCATGAAAAAAAAAATAGTAACTATGAAAATTGAATGTTAATGTTGATTCTTAATGTGAGAACAATTTAATGTAATTGAATTGTTCGTCGAAAGTAAAAGAATTATAACGGCGAGTAAATAATGGCGAAGAAACGGATAATATTAGCACCGTTATAATCGTATCTGAATCAACGATCAAAAGCCGCGGAGAATAATTAATATGCTGTTGAGCTAACCTTCGTCAGATTTAACGAGAAGCGGAGCTGTCAGACAAGCTTCGCGCTCGAACGCTCGCGTTTTCGAAAAGAGAAATGACACTCGTCTAATTTTCTCTTTTAACGAAAGAAACTTTAATTTTATAGAAATAAGATACAGCTCATAAAGCTATGGGTAATAGAAATTAAAATTAGTATTAAATCGTCGGCAAACCGTGACTTGTATTCGTATTTCACCCCACCCTAACGCGAATGATTAAATGACACTGCGAATGGTATTTCTTTCTATTAAAAATGAGATGATTATAAATAAAAATAATTTTATTTAAAATACCATGCACTCAATTTCGTTACGTGAAAAATATTTCAAAAATTAAATGTTACTTTAATATCTACCAAGGGATAGTCGTTAAACGACCAACGTTTACAGATGAATTTGCTAATGAATCGATGGACCAGCGACAGTCTCGAAACTCGATTAAATTCTCTCAGTGGTCTCGTCTCCCTAACGACCTGGGGAATTAAACTGCTGCTTCGCTCCCCGCAAGAACGTCATATAAAACAACGTACTCTAACCTTCATTTAATCCAACATCTTTTAACAATCACGTAAAGGGATTCGTTAAATTAGTCGCGAAAATTTTGCAAGGATACGCGCCAAATCTTTTCTAGGTCATTCTACAGGGACAGGACATGCACGGTTTCACAGCTGATTTTCTTGTGACGAGGTAAGAAAAATTTCCAATACCAAACGTCAAGAAGATAAAGAAAAAAATTTTGAATGAATCGAAAATGTACTCACCGCAATTAATCACTGATAATTTACCGCGGCACTGCACACGAACTCGTCACAGAAATCACAGCACTGCCACCACGCCAAAACAGCCCCTCCGAACGACTGATTTTTATCGAACTGGTCACGACGAACTGCAGCTCGCGCCGGCACATTGCCATCTGCCAGGAGATCCCGGAACTACCGCGCGTACATCGACACCGGCTACTTGCACTCGCGCATGCGCAGTAGAAATCCTTTGAATTTAACCAATTACCTTCAACATAATAAACAAATGTTATATTTAAATGTTCAAAATAAAATAAATAATATACATTTTAATAAAATTATCCCATTTTAATTGTTTCCATTTATTAAGAATTCCTTTAATCCTCCTCCAAATGGAATGAACATAATTTTAAAGCATGATCATAGAAGGAACACGTACCAATTAAATAAATGTTTTCAGCTTTTGTTTCAATTTGTTCTCCAATTTTCTTGCTATTTAAAAAACACCAATCGCATCCGTATGCTATGCTTTTATGTTCGTTGTACTCGCCAATAATGGACGGAGATTCTGATTTTTCACAGTCGACTATTCTAAATCCACCGTACATACATGCTGCGAGTAAATATTTTTGTACAAAAGGATCCCATTTTAAACGCCACACACCCCCGCCAAGATTAATTTCCGAAATAGGTCGTTTCAAGTTTCTTGTATCCCATAATCTTAGGATTTCATCGTAACTGAAACATTACGAGACTATCAATAATAATGGAAATCTTTATCTTTAAATTGTTTTGTTTCTTCGATACAGCACCTTCCACTTGATAACAAATATTCCTTTGTTGCATTACTATGAAGGCTTGTAACTCCAGTACCATGAATTCTGTTTGAAGTAGAAGGATAATATCCTATTCTTGTATCAAAACGTTGAAATTTACAGTCATCACCGCCTTAAATGTAATGATTATTACAAAATGTTTAGTTATTTGAATAAAAATTTGTGTATAATTTTTCATACCAGTATATATCACATTTGTGTCCCAGTAATCAAAAGCTGTAATCCAAGCTTCAAATTCGTGTGCAGGCCATGAATTAATTTTATTTAGTTTGTTTTCAATTATTTGAAATAATGATATAAAACCTTTAGAATCGCTAACTACTATTTTTGGAACTAATTCATTATCATTTGTAAATCTTCCTGTACACCAATCTAAAGATAATGCAAGAACTTCATTTTCATTTGCAACTTTTTCTTCTATTAATAATTGTAAAACCTTCTCCTCATCGTTTTTAAGTTCATAAATTTGCAGGTATCCTAAGGAATTTACAACACCAAGAAAAATTTTAGTCTGACACGTAACATGTGCCCATTTCATGTCTAATACAGCGGGTACTTCTAGTTGTTGTAATAATTCTAAACATCCAGTGGTCTTAACTTGAAACATATAGATTCTTCCTAAACGTTTCGATGATACCGATTCATCAGACTTTAATTCACCATCTTTCATTAACTGATATGTTCCACAGACAAATGTATCTTTGAAAGGATCTATTGGACACCATTCAACAGAGTCAGCAGAGAATTCAGTATCAAAATTATCCAATGTATGGAACATAGCTGAATTATTAATCTGTAACAAGAAATTAAATTCTAATGTGTGAAATTCTATAAAACATAAAAACTGTTATTATTTTGAAAAGGATGTTATAGGATTTACACACAAAAATCTTTATTTGAAATTACAAATGTTACAATTAATAGAAATTATATGACATACAATTTTAAAATCACTACAAGTTTATAATTGCTTAAATATAAATAAATACTTCAAAGTGTGTTTAATATCGTTAATAAAAAAAAAAAATTTATTCAAATATGTATTTGTAAAAACGTTTAGTAAATATTTATATTTCATACTGAATTGTATAGTCATATATAAATTGTACTTCTTGGTCAAAGTTTATCATTGAGATCATATCATCTTTAGGAACAAGACATGACCATTGTTTAACTTTTGCTTAAAAATAGTAACTTGTAAATGCATGTATTTCTGAGCAAAAGATCATTTAAACATTATAGGAACTTTTTGATTATCTCACTTTAAATATTTCCATAACATGTAATTACTTAAATATATATTTATGTATGCCTTACAATTACTATATACTATGACATGTTAATACTTTTACTGGTTATAAATGACTTGCATTTTGTCATTTCATTATACATTTTCATTGTATTTCGGAAGTAAATTTGTACTATTAGTTTTTTTAAGCACATTTGGTTCAGTACTGAAAAATACTAAACTTTTAAAATTAATGGAATGCATCATCTGATACACAGCATTAATGACTGACTGTAATTATCATTAAAACAATATAAAACATATACTGACTCATATAATACTAATCACATTTCAATAAATTATGGCACCTAATGGTTATTTTCATTATATTCTTTGGTAGTATAATAATCAATAAATAATTCATTAAGTTATAGAATAAATATGCAACGATGAATGATACGATGATGGCTTTTACAAAAAAATATCATAGGAATATATCTTTCAATGATTGTTAATGAATAATTTTATTACATTTCATATGTATTCTAATATGAGTTTGAGGTAGATTAGTTGTTACTATAGTTCTTTTATCTAATATCTACATTTGTTTAAAAATGAAAATATGTTTGAGCTTTTGATTCCTATGTATGGTTAAGTACTTTCTGAGTCTATGGTCATATATAAAATCATTGAAAATGTCTATCTTATTGACGAGCACTTTTTTCAGTTTCAACCAAACATTCCCTGACTAGAATACGTGCGTGTACAATACCACGCTTGATTTTTTCAGCAGAAGTACGACTGCCAGCATAGGTAGGTCGAACCTCGTGACCAAGTTCTTCTATGACATTAAGCAGCTGTATATATTTTGACTGGCCAGGTACAGAAGAAACAGTCTGTTGTAGGGCTCTTGGATTTGGTACACTTAGTAATGGCTCTGTAACCTTTGTTGGTACTTCTACATTTCCTCGTTCCTCTTCCATCTTCTAATTCTTTTCTTTTTTTTAAATAAATATCCTAATAAATAATGTAGGAAGAAAATCTAAATTATAAAGAACTAAAGTTTTATTATTCAATGAATATATCAATTACATGCCATAAAAGTACTGACGAATACTTTTCTTATCAGAACATAGGTTAATCTATATATGAAAATACATAAAAATCATTGGAACTTTAGAAGACAATTTTCACCACACACAAGAAAGAATTCACAACCTTCTATTAAATTGCTGTTATTTGATAAAACTTACCTTCAACAATACGTTAATAAACCTTGAATGTATATTTTATGTAATAAATAAATAAGTACAAATAAAAGTTAAATATAATAAACTACAAATTAAAACTAGCCTCGCAAACTCATCGGCTTCCACTTTCCTCTACTGCCATTCGGATACAAAAATATACCGGAAATGTGTACAGCGCTTTAACGGAATACGTACGAACTAAGTATACACGAGCGCCAATTTTTGAATTGATTACAGATAAACACTCAAGGGTATGAAATCAATACAAGATGTTATAGAAAATTGCCTTTTTTTTTTATTTAGATATACCTTGTAGTCAGTTATATTCGAGGATTATACTTTCCATAGGTACATTTTGTTTGATCAACCTCCTCCTGCATGTATGCTGTAAGTAATTACTAGGTACCCATAGTTTCAACCAAAAATGTATTACATTTCTCTTAGAAAATATAAATGAAAGCTCTTGTACAAACTGTCCCTCCCTAATATTAATTTTTCTATTTGCTAATCTCGATAACTTAACAAGAAAGTATCACTCCTTCATGTTTTGTATCTATCTATAAAAAAAAACGATAGTCCTCTCTAATTAACAAAACAAAAAAAGAAAAAAAAAACAAAAAAGAAAACGATGGAAACAATCCTGTTGCCTTTTTCATTTATTCATATTCAATATTATGCACTATCAAATGATTAATTTTCTTTTAGGCGTCCACAAAAATGCACGTTTCAAGTCAGTTCAGTTGATACGAAAATTGATATGAAGTTACAAAACTACTATTATCCTGATCTCTTTATGGTTTAAAAATACTCGCTGCTTAGATTTATTTTAAGAAACTTACAATTGGTCATATAAAATATGAAATAATAAATGCTACATATACAAGCACATTTTTGTGGATGCTAAGACACTCCCTTTAAAATATATTGCTGTACTTCATACAATGTACATAGCATTATCCTGTAAAATAATCGACTAAAAATCTAGTCACTAAGTATGCCGGCAGATCATTGCCGCGCGTTATGTTCCGTTTCCAATAAACATTCTCTTACAAGAATTCTAGCATGCTGAATACCCATTTTAAGGCGTTCAGCCGCGCTACGACTTCCAGCATACGAAAGACGAATGTCTCTTCCAAGTTCCTCAATAATAACCAATAACTGAGCATATTTACCCTGTCCAGGCACAGTAGGGAAGTTTATTGTACTGGATGGGCTTGCCTGCGCTACTTGAACAGTTTGAACATTTTGCAAATTTCTTGGATTTGGCACTGTAATCACAGGTTCAGGAATTCGAGGAATTTCTGGTACCTTCGGTGGTGGTGGGTCGTTTAACTTCGTTATCGTTATCTCATTCAATTTAGCCAGTTCTGTTAATTTTGCCATTTCTGCCATTTTCGAATATTCAGGCATTTTTGTGATGTCATTCTGTATATTTGCCATTTTAATCATCTCGTTCATCTTTGTCTTTTCATTCATTTTTGCAATTTCCTTAGCCATCTCATTGATTTGTGCGATTTCGTTTAATTTTGTTATGTCGTTGTTATATTTAGCCATCTCTGTCATTTTTACCATTTCATTTAATTTAGCTATTTCATTCATCCTTTGAACTTCATTAATCTTTGCCATTTGAGACATCTTCATCATCTCATTCATTTTAGCAATTTCATTTATCTTTGTGATATCATTATATTTTGCCATTTCTGACAGTTTCACCATCTCATTCATTTTAGCAATTTCAGACATCTTTGCAATTTCTTGCATCTTCATATATTCTGTTGTCTTGGCATATTCTGCCATTTTTTCCATTTCATATCTTTTGGCCATATCCTGAGACATTTTATTCAATTCAGTCATCTTACTGAATTCAGCAAGCTGAGCCATTTGAACTATATGTTCTGGTACCTTTCCTCTCTCCATCATTTGTTTAAGCTCAGCAGAAATTTTAGTCATATTCATTTCTGACATCTGAGCTATCGTTGCTGCATCAGGCATCTTTGAAAGTTCAGCAATTTTTGAAATTTCCCTTGCTAAGTTTTCATCCAGACAACGCTTCTTTTTAGCACGATGCCTAGCCATACGTTGAGCTTCCTGCATTCTTCTTATTGCTGCCTGCTCCTCTGTTTCTTTGGCTCTAGCGTTCTTCATTCTCTCTGCAGCACTGTTTAATCTAATGGCGCGTTCTTCTTCTGTTTCTCTTCTTAATTTTTGCCGTCTATATTCTCGCATTTCCCTTACCTTTTTAAGGTAAGGTTTCTTCTTAGCCTTAGGCATAACATGCAATTATGCACAGCATAGATACAATCAACTATATACAATGTCATTTTTGTAATCTTCAAATACCAAACTTTTCACAAAATATATTTTATTCATACGTTTTTGGTTAAATGTAGCTAATTCTCTGGTCTCCTACTTGGTATTTATTAATTTTTCTTACATACGTTTTTGTATATAAATGTTCACGTTATTTTTGTATCTCAGACATTACCTGTAACACAAAATCATAATGTTGGTTAAAATTGTCCTGAAAGGAATGTTTTATGGAATTTAAAAACATTCATTTACATGTAATAATTATTGTCATCGTTTTATACTTTATAAAGGATGATTTAATTACAAAATATTGCGACTATCAGCACATAACAATTTTTTATTAATAAAGATTATTATGAGGAATGACTAAAACTTGTTTGCACTTGTAACAAAAGGACATGAACCTGACGATCTCTCGCTTAAAAAATACCGTAACCGCTTTCTTCATAGCAGAAAGCAAAAAAAACATGCAAATTAATTCAATTTCCAATGTCTAAAAAGACGCGGGTAGCGAACTCAAAAAATTCCATAGCACGTGCGCAAAAATCAAGTGGTGAATACTGTTTTCGAAATCATATACGTATACATGCGTATGCGTATGCAGTTACCTGTATTACGTTGCTTTGTGTGTGCGTGTCTTCCAAAATTCGAAAGAAGAGCGTCGTCAAGTAGTACAATGTGCGCATGCGCGACGATATAAGAACGCCGTCTTCTCTGGAACGTTCACCAATCACAACAATGGCGGACGCAATTCGGTCAGTTCACTGAAACGCACGATTAACCCTCCGTAAAGCTAAATCGTGGCACAAACTGATCCCATTTTACATCCGTATCTTCTTTACGATGAAACACATCCAATGACGGCATTCGTAGAAAAATTACTTCGATTTTTCTTAAGATATCCTGCAGACAAACGCACAAAAGCAATATCGGCCGACATGTAAGATTTTCGTTCGGAGCCACTTTAAGGGGCCAAGCGGGGTCGCCGATAGGCTGCGTGTGACGTGGTTGCGTTTATTGACCATAACCCCTTCCTACTCCCGTCTGCAACTTCACGACGGACAGGTGTACGACCTGAGCAACCGCAAAACAATTGACCGAACCAACTACGTCTTAAATACATGACATTGTTAAAGAACTGGAAAGATGGCTTCGAAGATGCCGCTACCTTACCAATTTTATTGAGGGTGATTTTTTTTTTCTTTTTCTTTCCAAAATGGATCGTTTCTTGGAAATGGTCAACCCACGGTAAACTTTCTTAGGACAGTATTCATTTAGGAACGAGAAAGTTTTGACAAATTTTCTTCGATTTTTTTTAGACAAGAAGGTGAGACACTGTGAACTTATCAAGAAGATCTGTATTTTCAATGAATGCTTGAGCCACGATAATAATAATTTGATGAAAGATTTATTTTCAAACAGAATATTTTGTTAAAATTTAGTACCTATGTAAAATACTGTATCATTGATAATTAGAATTTCATTGATATATTGAAATATATTATGTAATCATAAAAACAAGTTAACTATTAAGGATCTTCTAACAAATCGAATATAATTTATAATTATAAATTGTGTGCTATTACCGTGAGTTCATTTCTGTTTCCACTAAACATTCTTTTATCAGTATTCTAGCTTTTATGATACCTATTTTCATTCTTTCTGCTGAAATTTTACTACCAGCATATGTTAATCTAATATCTTTTCCTAGTTCTTGGATGACCTTTAATAATTCAGAATATTTACTTTGTTGGGAAGATGGATTCCCTGTACAAAAGTTGCTTTGAAATTGTGTAATGTTAGGTACAGTAATAATAGAATCAACATTTTTAAATGTAATGCTCCTCTTCAATTCAGAGATTTGAGAAAACTCATTTCCTGTTTCAAGTGCCTTGGCTTCTAAAGCTTTCCTCTTCCTAGCTCTGAATCTTGCCATTCTTTGCGCATCATGGAATCTTCTAACTGTAGCTTCCTCTTCTGTTTCATAAGGTTTTGTTACAGATCTAGATGTGGTTCTTCTTCTTTCCTTAGCTGAATTTGATTGTTTGTTCATTTTATACCTGTTCCACTTGTAATCATTCATTTCAACTGCTTCAAAATTATCTTCCTTTTTTTTCTTTTATTGATATACACGCATGTGTCAATTGCGTTTAATTTAAAAACTAATCACAGAAATGACGTATCAGCGTTGTTAAATTTATGAGTCACGTGAAAAACTTTTGTTGTTACCTATTTTAAATTTCGACAAATATCTTTCACTATTTCGATATCTGTAATTATTTAAACTACAAATAAACAGACTGAAAATGACGTACGTGCACACAAGCTTCGGGTATTTAATTCTTTTTACTGGTATAGATTTGCGAAAAAACCTATCTGTCTTCTGCTTTGTATGTATTATTATCTCAAGGTGATTCATTCCTAAAATAGTAAGCTACAATAATTAATTGGCGGCATTTCTTGTATCTTCGGTTCTTGTAATTATCGATGTACTTTTCAATAATAAAGCACTTTGTTTAGTTCTTACCTTGGTTAATGTAATATAGACGTATAGTCAAATAAAATGACATCAAAATGTATAGATACATTTATTTTATAAATCAGCGTATGCTTATAAAATGTATTTAACGCTTAAAATGCATAGAGTAACATATTTAAATAGTGTTTATCTTATTTTGAAATGTATTTGCGTGATGTATATTTTAGAAAAACTGATTTCCGTGTTAATCAATTCAATTACTTCGATAAACCTACAGATAAATAAATACAAATCAAGCAAAATACATATCAGATTTCTTTCAATAATAAAATACTTTTTCATGTTACAGATCGTATAGAAAGGTTCTACATCACATTTGCTAAAGACACTTACAATAGAGGAATCCAGTCCACATGATCAGAAGATTAATATGTACATTTCATCATACGAATATTATTTCCTTTTATTATTAGTGATTCTTCCAGTATATCTATTTTTTAAATTATGGTCATGGTTAGGCTGGCAATTGTTTGTAAATAATTAATTAATACTACGTACATTCCACTTCTTTGGTTAATTTCACTTTGTATTCTTTCTAATACTTTAATCTCTTAAATTTTAGTAATATCAAGACTGCATATGTTTGTATGCAGCTATAATATATGTACATATGTAATATCTCATCAATATGTTAAATGAATTATCGTTGAATATTTATATATAAAAAAGTAAAAATTAAATTTTATTAGTAATTAAAAGTTCATCTAATCCCATCCTTCCTGTATGTTTCCATATTCTAAATCTGGCTACATCTTTTCGAGTAATAATTCCAATCACCTAAAAATAAGTATACATGTAAATATCGTTGTGTATTGCAGTATGCTGTAAAATACTTCAATCAGGAATACCTCATTTGTATCATTTACCACCGTTAAATGACGAAGGCCTAAAGCTCTAAAAAGTCTAAACGTTCGTGGCAGTGTTGCAGACTGAAAGTATAAATAATTTATATAATTGATGAAAATTTTTAATTAATGAATAGAATAATAATATGTTACAAACATGTTGTAATGTATAAGGAGAAGGATTCATGAAAGGTCTTAAATTAATCATGTAAGTTTTTTCTTCTTCGAGCACGGTCACTTGTTCAATTGTCGGATACCTAGGGTATTCTTTCCTAAACATTTTAATACTCAAATTTCTTTCCCAATATTCTGCGTACTCGTTAAAAATTTTATTTTGCAATAACACTATCAGTTGAGAACGCAAGATCAGACCACGAAATCGTCCATAAGAGTCGATTTCAGCCTACAATAAAAAACATTGTTACAACAAAATAAAAGTGTACAATTTTCAGAATAGTTGCGATAGTTGTTACCTGATCGCTACTAGGGGGATCAACTACAGGAAATCCATTAAATGTTACACATTTAAGAAGTTCCAGTATATGCCCCACATTTTCTACTGTTTTCAGAGTCACTACTGGATGACTCATTATTTCACTGGCATATATGTTGTTTGATAATGGTGGTGCTTCCCATGCTAATATGGGAATCCCGGCCATCTGTGTATGAATCTCATAAATTCCCTGAAAAAGAAATGCTATTGATATAATATGTAGACATTCTAAAATTTGAAGGCAAAGACATGACATGCCTCATTGAAAAAGTCTCCAACCCATTTAGCCATAATAAGAACTATTATAACTGGTAAACCGAAAGATATGCCTTGGGTGGCTTCTATTAGTATAGCAGTTAAACTTATTGTCATTCTAACTACTCCTCCCAATTGAGCAGCTGCACCTAATAAAGCATATTTTCCCGGATCCAAAACAACCTGTAATAATGTACAATATTTGACATTATATTTTTTATACGTCATGTTTTACTTTATAATTACGTTCTTACGCAATTCGGGAAAACTCTTGTAAGGCCTGATCCAATTAATCTTCCCCAAGCTGAACCAATCAGAAGAGATGGTATAAAAAGTCCACTGGACATAGATAGACCAAATGTAGCAACAGCCAGAAAGAAATATAAGACCACAAAAATTGCTAAAGTTAGATCATTATGAGAACCTATAAAAGGAACATCGATGAAATATATGTAGATTACTTTCTTTTTGTACACACGAATAACATACCTTTCGGATCGTGAAACAAAGATCGTACGCTACTTTCTGGTGTTTGAAACCACAAAGCTGCAACCGCGTTGTATTCACCTTCGTTACAATACATCTTAATGGGAAATTTAGTGGGATCTTTTCCTAATGGTTTACAATCATTTATGAAATAAATCATAATGAATCCCATTGTCGCGCTTAATGCGGCTACGGAAAGAGCTTCCACGACTTTCAACCATTTCTTTTTCATGTATTTCAAGCGAAAACAAGAAATCTTATAATTCAGATGATTCCAAGCAGAGCCTAAAACTCCACCTATCATTCCCATTATCATAAACAGAGGAATTTCATAAATCTGATACGGTATTGTATCAAATTTTCCAAGATTTAGCAAGCCCGGATAAGAAAGGTCACCGGGTCGTCCATGATACGTGCTGAGGACAATATTCAACGTAAATGTTGTAATCATGCTGGCAAAAAATGTTCTCCATGTAAGACTCTGATTAAAGAAACTAGTTCCCTCTTCAATACTAAATAATACTCCTCCTGAAACATTTTGAATACGCTAATTAGTAGTACCGATACTAATTATCAATTGACGATTAGTATTTTCTCACCAATTGGCGCTCCAAATGCAGCAGATACACCAGATGCGGCACCTCCCGATACGAAGTCTCGTTTTTCATGATCCTCTCTAAAATATTTAAATATTTTAAAGTCTTTCCTAAAGGTAGTGCTTTTCCCCTGTGATATTCCTGCTGCTACAACAGCTCCAGCATGTATCATGGGCCCTTCCTATAAATGTATTTCATTCTTTACTAAAATATTTTTTGCCATTACTAATGTACGATAACGAAAAGAATAATAAATAATATTTACTTTTCCACCAGCTAGACCCCCCACTACAGTACAAATTACTCCAATTGCTTTTACTGCCAATGTTTTAATACGGACAACTCTAGGTACTTTAATTCCATTTAAATAACATTTCACTTGTGGAATACCACTGCCAGCAGCAACAGGTTCCACGTAAGCAACTAAAATAGCACCTATTAAAACGGGTGCAAAATTTAGGGCTAACCATATCAGATATGGTAGCCATAAACAGTTGTTTTCCACACACCGATCTACATCTGTTGTTTTTAATAAGGAACAATAACTACGCGCGTATATAGATTTCTACATTCATATATCTGTTGTCAAAGGATACATATTTTGAGAAAACCATATTTCAAGCCTGTTAATTCTTCTATAGATATATCAATAAAGCCCGCTATAAGCGCTGTGCAAATACCTATCAATAAGAAAATAAACCATCTGGCAAAATTTTTTCTAACTACAAATTTATATCCTTTTTTTCGTTCCTCATCTTGAAGAAGGTGATTCTCACAGGGATCATAATCTAAACTCTTAACAAAAGAAAAACCAAAAATGAAGATAAATATCATGTATCATACATGTATGAAAACCTAATTACTTTTAAGATAAGATAAAATAACATTCATGATGACTAATGTAATTCCACCGAAATGAAGATAAATATAATCTATAAACAATAAGAAATTAATGCTCCAAGAAATTAAAGCCATACATTTACGCATGGGAAGAATAAGTTACCTCATAGTTTGTAGATAAAAAATTAGTAGCTCCAGGAGTTATCTCTTCCGTATTAAGTCTCCTTGGGTTATTAGAAACTGCCTCTGTAATACTTTGTGAGGATGTACCGCTACGATTATAGGAAACATTCTGTCAAAAATGCAAAGACAAAGTATTAAACACAAAAATTAGTATAGTTCAATTTCTGTTAATTGTTATTTTAAGAGTGGAATAACAAAAGGTGTACGAGAGATGACAGGTGTTAAATGGGTTAGGACACTTGATCAAACAAAGACACCAACGAAATTAATTATCAAATAATAACATTCTTCTTACCCGAAATCTAACATTGATATCCTCGTTCGAATATGACGCAAAATTATTTCTCGGTTTCAACAGCCTTTCTTTGTCGTCTTCGTTGTCAACGCAGCTATCGACACTGTCATCGATGCTACTGTTAATTAACACGTTTACTTGCCTTGGCGAAGTTATCATTTTTATAATTTACTGTCACTCAAATCACATTTTAACGATTGAAAACAATCAAATCATTATTTAATCTAACTTTGCTATAGATCGCTGTTACCACATACTACATACTGAATACGAGGAAAAGAAACACTCATTCGCAACCTCGTGAGTAATATATGTATGCTATGATAACCGGGAACGATATAGGATAGACCACTCACACAATGCATTCAGTGTCGCATGATTTAGGAATTTCATGTCATGTCCTGAAATATAAGATATCATATTAATAAATTTTTAAAACTGAAAATATTGTGCCCAAGTTATTTTTATGTTATTTACCTTTATATTAATGCGCGCTTTGAAAATGATACATTTAGTGCCATCTGACAGTGAATGGTAAAACCAGTAAAAACGCTGCGATAAAATACCAATCGCAGTTGGTACAATAGGATGTGATTTTTAATATAAAATAAAAAAATGATTGAATTAAATTAAATCAATCAACAAGAAATCACATAATTACTTTATGCACGACAATACACAAGATTATAAATATTTCCTTCTTGATCCCTACCTATTGTGAAATTCATACAATTATATAATTGATGATAGTGTTACAATAAAATATTTTTTTTACATGATGTCGTGTTAATCACTAAACCCGTCCTTAAACTGTCAGTAGCCTCTGATTATATTATCTAGGAATATTATGAATGTATAAACATTTCCTAGTCAATAATATCAGTGGCTTTTTATGACACTTAGGTCGTTACATAAATACTGTTACGTATTCGCTACATTGTTCACTAAACTACATACTTTATTCTGCAGATAGATGATTTACCTATCTAATGTCTCGTAACCTTCCGGGAAAACGTGACAGTATGAGGAAAACTTTTCAGATGTTTCTGAAAGAAACGTCTTTTAATATTTCTGGGCTTTAGCATTTCTAACTTCCAAATAAAGAGTGAAGAGTGTATGAAGGGCTTCCAGTCTCGTTTCTTCATCAGAAGGAATATCAAGTAAATTACAAATGACATCGATCAACTCGGGTAATTCACAATCGAGCTGCGTGAAATCCAATTCAGCTTCGTTCAGCTTCTCCTCTACTTCGGTTGGCCATTGTTGAAGCAAAGAATCAATGTCAGGCATTGGTTTTGTTATGTGAACAGCCGGTGGATGCTTACTTCTATAAAGCTGATTCATATCCTCGATCCACTTGTCGATTGATTTACCATTTTTCTCTGCATCTTCGATCCTTTTGATCACTGTCTGCCTTGCTGCACCTGCGCTCTTCATGTAGCTACGTAGCTGCAGGTGCAGCACGGCTGGGTCCGATTGATTGGTGCAGGGTTCGTCCAAGACGGTTAAACCTATTTTATCCTCCGTTCCATCGGGTCGTGGAATCTTCAGGAAGGCGTCGATATCACCCACTGCTGGAATATAGTCGGGAATAAAGGGGATGAGTTTGTAATTCAGCTCTATCTTTTGTGGCGTGTACCTACAAGAGATAAAGTTATTAACTATTTTGTTGATTTTGAAGAGGTATACTAATTGGCCACAGAAGGTACCTCATTATGTTCTGAAACAGTTCCTTCACTTCTATGGATACCTCCAAATCCTCAAAATCTTTTGGATTATAAATTTCAACAGGCTGTGCATTAATGGTCCCCTCTATATCATCATCGTCGCTTTCTTCACTATCAGACGGATCACTGTTGATTCCCATTGACTTCCCAAAGCTATTCTCGTTGTCAGAGTACCTTTGAAAAATGATAATAGTTGAACAATATTGCACTTGAATTAGGTATATAGTACCTTCTGAAGTCCAATTTTTCACGTGGTGAATTGATCCCCATAGCATCGCGACTTTCAGTCCTACGGGTCGGTCTAGGTCTCTTGGAACTTGAAGGTCTGTGACTCACAGGACTTTGTATCTCTTCGGCATTACGCACCTCTATGCTTTCATCAAATTTTGTAAACGCTGAAATATGTGCCTCCTCTTCGTCGCTGCTATCTTTGGTGTCCATAGTTGATCATTCCTAGAATTCTTAAAACAGTTGACTGCAATGGATGATTGTTTTGATTTTCATAGCTTTACTGTTTCTATGGTTTCTCGGAGGGTCGATGAGCGCAGGCTCGGCCTGTATATATGCTGAAAATAATTTATATTTCTATAATATCTTTAATATCTTCAAAACGAGTCAACTTCCGATTGTAAATTAATCAACTTTATTCGTAGAAAAATATTAATCAATACTGAGCTTAAATACCGAAGACCATAGTACTAAATAAAATGATCAATACAGTCACAAAAGTGAAAACAAAATTTCATCGAAACAAAACGATTCATAAAAATCGTGTAAATAAATTTCATCAATTTCAAAATTTTCCTACAATAAAAATAAACGATACGAAACGAATGTGTGTAAAAGTAGACGAGTCATCTATCAACAAGGTTGTTAAACAACAAGACAATCAAATTAAATAATTTTGGAAAAATTGAGACACTTATGCTCGCTCACGTTTCTAAAAACTTATGTCTGATAACGTTTAAACTGTCGTTAATTATTTATCTGTAACGTTGAAACAACCGAGACGTGTTACAGCAATATCTCTTCTTGAAGAATGTTTAGACTAATAGATATTAGTTTTGTCTCAATGTATAATTCCTATACAGGATATTTTCCATAAATTTGACCGCTCCTGGTTTTTCTGATAAGCCATTTTTGACTGCTCTTCTGATATATTCTCTCCATCGTTTGGGTGCTCTGAGAATTTTGCGGTTGAATGCTATTTAAACCAAAGATTGATCTTTTCGGGATGCTCGTAGTTCTCTTCTTGGCTGATCGAACTCTGATTACGTCCTCGTCGGAGAAGTTCCTTTTTGGAATTCGTCCACGTGTGCAGATCGAGTCGCCGCAAGCGTGGAAGCAGTTTGTTGAACTCGTGCTCGAAACACAGTAAGGATCTTCTGAGAGACCTGCAGTCACTCTGCTAACAAGAAATTTCTAATAAATACTTGTATCAATTTTTATACAGAACAACTGGATATTTATTTTGCAGGTGAAGAAGAGTAAAACTAACGTTTCTATACCGGCAGAAGTATAAATTTGTCGACAGTCCTTTTCGCATTTGGATGCAAACATTACAAGGATGAAGAGCACGCTACAGAGGAGGGAAAATGCCAAAATATCAGCTGTTAAATTCCTAAACGTTAAACCACGAAATCTCGTGTCCGAAGCGTCGAAGTCATCGTTGATTGCGGCGATCCAGAAGAATTTCTGTAGAATCAAGTCCTGGAAAGAATACAAAAGAATCTGAAATACCAAGATAACGTAATTCAATGGTAATTAGATAACGAGAAGGTTAATCATGTAGTCATACTCGTAAGTAGATGAAAACTTGACGGACAATCAACTGCACGAGATAATAAATGTCGCTCAGGTTGTCCATTATCGATCGCCATTGACTGATCATCACGATCCTCTCGATCCAACTTACAAACGCGTATGGTGGAAATTTGTTAATCCATCTTTTGCCGAAAAATCTCACGTTGTTCTGTCGATTGCCCAGAATTTGACAAACGCTTCGCGATCAACCATTCGTCTTCATTTGTTATCATTATATATAAATATGTATGTATTTATGGAGATCTAGAAGGAAAAAATACAATAACTCTCATTGTCAGTACATATTTTGATGACGAGCTGTAGAAATTTGGAATAATCATTATAATTTTTCTACAAAGTTGCTTCAATATTCCTCGCACGAGTCGTTTAACTGGTGCAGGCGGTTTAAACGCTAATCCTTTAATCTGGTACCGCGTGTTTGCCGTGTGACGCAAAGAGAAATCCATTTTCCCGTTTCTCACAATTTTACTCATCCAACATTGCAATACCGACACCTTGGACGATGTAGAAATTTCATGTTAATCAGAAAATATCTCATCGTTCCACGCTAATCCTTAATGTCAATTCAGGTTTATGGTATATCAGAAAGCAGACAGCTGTATATCATGTATCCTCTCCACGTGTTTCATAAACCAGATTATAACAGAGATACACCGTGTCGTTTCCATACTTTTTCTTTTCTCTTACTAACAATTCATTGTTTTTATATTATGAAATCCAAAGCGAATGGTTTTCTTCAGAGACCTTAAGACTTGCGCTTCTTTTTTAACTGTCTGTAACAGAAAAATATTTTTAACGATATTAACGATAATTTACTTTAATCCACGTACTTTTATGGTTTTACAATCTTGACCTATTCTTTTTGATCCACGCTGATAAAGGAACGGCTTGATTACGCGATTGTTTTATCAAAGACACAAGCTTTCCTTGCGATTGACGTTGAATTACACGTATTTATTGTCCTGAATTTATTGTCAATAAAGTTTATTAAATAACAAACAACACTGTTCAACTTGGATCCGTTTTATATTTCCTTTGTAATAATGTATTAAAGAAAATTTAATTAATAAATCCTGTAAACTTACCCAACTATAAATTACAGGTATAAATGCAAATTTATACAGAAACAATTACATAAGTTATTCGAGTATCTATCTGACAATGACTATCTTGACTATCTTCGAGGAAGAAGTATAGTGATTATCATGAATTTCAAGTAGGAGAAGAAAATTGTTAAAATGATCCTGCTTGTCCAAGAGAATACCTATCGAAATTAACGACACGTGTTGTATCGTATGATATAATACAGCTTAACAGAATTAGGAGGACAACGTCTAGGTGAGTCGTATCTAATCAAAGTACGCGTTTAAACCGAGCTGTATTTTGCAGAAGTTACGTCTCTGGAACAGGTAGTCGGTATCCTACTTCCATCAACTAACAACAAGCTTAGTAAAAAAAAAAAACTTCCGAAATTAACGACACGTGTTGTATCGTACAATCTAATACAGCTTAATAGAACCGATATGAATTAGGGGGACAACGTCTAGGTGAGTCGTATCTAATCGGAGTACGCGTTTAAACCGAGCTGTATTTTGCAGAAGGTACGTCTCTGGAACAGGTAGTCGGTATCCTACTTCCATCAACTAACAATAAGCTTAGTAAAAAAAAAACTTTCGAAATTAACGACACGTGTTGTATCGTACGATCTAATACAGCTTAACAGAACCGAGATGAATTAGGGGGGCAACGTGTAGGTGAGTCGTATCTAATCGGAGTACGCGTTTAAACCGAGCTGTATTTTGCAGAGGTACGTCTCTGGAACAGGTAGTCGGTCTCCTACTTCCATCAACTAAAAATAAGCTTAGTAAAAAAAAAAATGAACAATCCATGGTAGTAGCTTCTAGAATCATTGTTGAAGAATCCATCAATTTCTGCGGCATAGTATACCTTTTCCTGTTTAAATTATAACTTCTTTTCTTCATTTGTGTTTTATATTATACTGGTGTAATATTTACTATAAAATGTGAGATTAAGTTTGTATATAGAATGTGGTGAAAATTAAATATAAGATACTGATACCTTTAGAATGATGCACGAAGCTGAACGTAGTCTTTTGGAAGCACCGTTATTTGAACAACAGGAAGAAGTTTTGTGATGGTTTTTTACACGTCCATACACGAGTGTTTCTTGATACAAGGGATATTAATGTGAAAGTGCACTTCTTTGGAGAACATTCACAGAAGAAACTTTAAATGAAGTGAAATCTTTTGCAGCAGTATTCTGAAATTGTTAAACAGAGATGGAGAAGTTAGAGAATGGAATTTATGTAAGATATTTAAAAGAATGTAATGAAAATGAAGAATCAATTAGAGCTTTCGATTTATCAATTAAAATTTCCAGACGCAAAATGCCTTCACAAACAACGCTTTCCAGATGGAAGATATTCATCTTGAACAAAAGGAAAATAATTTTCCCGATGTTGAGAAATCATTGGAGAAGTCCAATGCTCAGCAGAAACCACCTTCAGAAAACAATACAGCAGTATGTCAACTTTTTCTTTGAAGAATATACGCAAATTACCTTGAATCATATTTCGTAATTTTTCATTTCTTAAATTTCTTCTTCTATAGAGAGCAGAATGGGGTGGAGGACTACAATTTTTAATGGCATGCATTGCCACTTCTGTGGGTCTTGGAAACGTATGGAGATTTCCATTCACTGCCTATGAGAATGGAGGTGGTGCTTTTCTGATACCTTACATCATAATTTTATTATTCGTCGGCAAACCTTTCTATTTTTTGGAAGGCCTTCTCGGTCAATTCACCAACAAATCATGCGCAAAAACATGGAACATGGTACCTGCAATGAAAGGTAATTTTTGTTGCAGATTATTCAGTACTATTTCATGCACCAAGTGCTATACTCCAATTATTATTATTATCCTAGGTCTAGGATATGGACAAGCATTTGCAGCAACCTGCGTAGTGTCTTATTATTGCGCTCTAATGGGTTTGACGTTATACTATCTAGTAGCAAGTTTCCAATCTGAACTACCTTGGTCCTATTGTCGAGAAGAATGGCAGGGTCAATGCGTAGACGCTGTTTCGAAGGACAACAACATAAGCAAGAGCGCGAAGTTGCTTGATAACGATAACGGTACCCTTCGTAGCTCCGCAGAATTATACTTTAGGTTTGCAGCCTTTCACTTTGTTCGAAATTCTTCTTCTTCTGCTTCAATCCTCAATATTTCTATCGTCTTACAGGAAGATCGTTCTGAACGAGTATGACTCCATCGAGGATGGAATTGGTACTCCTTCCTGGCAACTCACCATCTGTCTTTTCTTAAGCTGGATGACGATATTCATCGTGCTTTGCAGAGGAATAAAAAGCACAGGAAAAGCAGTATATTTCCTAGCAATATTTCCTTATATCGTTATGATTGCTCTGTTACTTAGAGCAGTGACTTTGGATGGTGCTGTCGATGGGATTCTATTCCTAGTCACTCCGAAATGGGACAAATTGTGGCAACCCACTGTGTGGTATGCAGCAATCACCCAATGTTTCTTCTCCTTGTCAGTTTGCTTTGGTCCCATCCTTACTTACTCATCCTACAGTAATTTTGGGCACAACGTTACCAGGTAAGACTCTTCAGTGCATTATGTGTAGAATTTTTCAAACCTGGTATTCTTACAGATGTTGATTAATTTTAGGGATGTCATGATAGTGACCACTTTGGACACGTTTACAAGTCTGATAGCAGGTTGCACGATTTTCGGTATTCTAGGAAATTTAGCCCACGAGATAGGCACCGAAGACATATCAACAGTGGTCCGTGGAGGTACCGGACTAGCATTCATTTCTTATCCAGAAGCATTGTCTAGATTCAAATTGGTTCCCCAACTGTTTGCTGTTCTTTTCTTCGTGATGATGTTCGTCCTTGGCGTTGGAAGCGCAGTGGCTCTTTGCGGTGCCGTCTTCAGCATCCTCTGTGATCATTTTCCAAAAGTGAATCACTGGAAGTTGGTGCTGATGGTGTCGGTTTTCGGGTTCTTCGTTAGCCTCGTCTACGTCACTCCTGTGAGTCCTGTAAAATGAAACACAATGTAAATGGAAACATACGGAAGTGTTAAATTAATTACAATTGTTCCAGGGCGGTCAGTGGTTCATAACACTGGTAGATTATTATGGTGGCACGTTTGTGGCGATAATAGTGGGTGTATTAGAGATGGTAACTATTTTCTGGATCTATGGTCTGTCGAATTTTCTCAATGATATAGAGTTCATGCTGCGGTCGAGACCCTCCTTCTATTGGAGACTCTGTTGGGCCTTCATCACGCCTGTATTGATGATTGTTATTTTAATTTACACGATCGCCACTTATGAACCACCTACTTATGATGGATTCATGTTTCCCACATATGCTTATGGTAAGTGATACAATTGTTATCTGAAAAATCAAAGATTAATCATTTGATTAACAAATATTCATAGGTATTGGCTGGTTCTTACTGTCCCTGGGAGTTTTAGCAATCCTTGGTTGCATTTTGCAGAAACTAATAGAGAAACGATCATCATCCTTGATAGAAGTGAGTATTTTCTATTAAATTCATGATTCTAATGTTAATTTACTTTTTATTTCATAGACTATTAAAGCAGCATTTAGGCCCGATGAGAATAAATGGGGACCCAGTGATCCTAAAATTCGGCTGAAATGGAAGGAGTTCATAGCCGAGAAGAATTTCCAACATCGAGGTGGCTTTGTCCAGACTTTTTTCAAATAAAAAACAATTCCTGTCTGTATACAATGGTGTGGTTTAATAAAATCCTCCCACATTTCTTCCTATATCTCGAAAGTCTTGAGTCAAATAAAATCTTGAATTTCGTAAAGAACATAATTCAATTACTTTCGAACGTCCTTGAAGATAAAGAGAAAAGCGCAATTTTTCGAAAGAAACGACCTTCGATCGACAAAGGTAAACCTGTTACCCTCTTGCATCGGTCACGCTTGAAAGCGCTACTCTAATTAGAATTAACAAATCGCATTGAAAGGAGAACGATTAAATGGATTCTTTCTGAACGCAATACGGTCGTAAATAGAAAGTGAATACAAAACTGAAGCAGATTTTTGTATCGATTATTCAACACACGAATAGTACCGTTTCTTTTAAAATCCAAGACCGAGCGTAATCGTTTTCGTGTTTCCAATAGTGGATCAATTTACAAAGTAATTTTGCATATTTTACATTTATGATTGAAGAGTATTTTTTCATTAGAATTCTTATTTTTATCTCCATTCATTTTCTCTTCTGAAAGAATGAAGATGTCAAGATATTGATGATATAAAAATGAAGATAGATAAAGTAAACAATGTTACTGGGAAGATGGTAATATAATGGTGACAAGATTTCTCACAGCATTCACTACTGATCTAGCCAGCTGCGAATGAACAAAGTCGTTGATCAGTCTTCCAAAAGCTGTTGCCTCGCAAAGATCAAGGAGAGAATTCAAATCCCATTAATCCTGTGCACCATCCATCATGGGCCAAACGAAGGTTCGTACTTATCTATAATTTAAAAGAAATAATAATTTCTATTTAACATTTCTTAACAATAAATAAGGATGTCCATTATAAATTCATAAGCTTGTCACGTTAAATGTCATGCATCTAATCTAAATTGCAGCTGTAAAATTGCATTAAGATCTCATTTCTTTATCTTATTATAGTAAGAACGTTGTCCAATTTTCAGACTTCTTGATCACATCAATTTCTTCAGTAATTTATATTAAACTAATTAATAATTCTATAGTAATAACAAAATAAACAATGAAAAAGGATTAAAAAAATATCTTCATTTTTTCTTCCTTATCTTGGCTGTTATTTCCATTTAAAGACCGATGGAAACTCAGATTCTTCCTTTGTGGCAGCAAAATACGATCTCACAGCAATTATACATAATTGTGGTTCACACGACGTCGAATGCAACATTCTTTGATATATCATAATTTCCCTTTACGTAAACGGTGCAGTAATTCCACTCGCTTAGTACTTTAGTCGTCACGTGTAAATGATGGGATAATAAGGTGCATGCACCGTTGTAGTCTACACACATGTTTTTGTCTATAGAATGATTTTATGAACAACGAAGGTGTTCAAGGAACGTACAGACTGTCTATTTCATCAGGCAACGAGAAACCACTTGAAAATGGAGTAAGCTTTAATATAAATGGATAATTCATTTAGCATCAAATTTACTCACTCTTTCCATTCTTCAGTCGCTGGCTGCTAAAATTGAAGAAGGAAACGAGAGGGCTCAATGGGGTAGCAACTTGGAGTTTTTGATGTCCTGTGTAGCATTCTCTGTTGGCCTTGGTAACGTTTGGAGGTTCCCATATACTGCCTACCAAAATGGAGGTGGTGCATTCCTAATACCTTATATCATTGTTCTCTTTATAATTGGTAAACCTATTTACTATATGGAAATGATCTTGGGGCAGTTTAGCAGTAGATCTTGCATTGAAGTTTGGTCTGTGTCTCCTGCCTTCAAAGGTACGATGCTACTTCTACAATACACAGTATTTCTTCCATTGATTACCTTCATTGTTTCAGGGATTGGTTATGGTGTTACTGTAGCCGTGTTTTTGGTGGTAACTTACTATTGTTCACTCATGGCATTGACAATGTACTATCTAATAGCAAGCTTTCAATCAGTTCTGCCATGGGCTTTTTGTTGGAAAGAATGGGGTGATGCTTGCTTCGACAGTACCTCCTCTAATACAGAAATAGTAAATGTCAGTAAAAGTAGTTCAGCTGATCTGTATTTTCGGTAGGTATGAAACAAAATTACACCTGGATACGATATAAATTTCTTTAAGGAATAAAGTCTCTCTTCTATTTCAGCAAAGTGGTTCTCAATGAAGTTGGAATACTAGAAGGATTAGGAGATCCATCTTGGAAGCTAGTCTCATCTCTCCTGGCTAGTTGGTTCTTTGTATTCATAGTGCTGAGAAACGGAGTGAAAAGCAGTGGTAAAGCTGCTTACTTTCTGGCCCTGTTTCCATACGTGATCATGATAAGCCTGTTAATAAGAGCAGTGACGTTAGAAGGAGCCGCGGATGGTATAATATTTCTGTTCAAACCAACCTGGGAAAAGATTTTTGATCCTTCAGTCTGGTATGCTGCTGTCACTCAGTCGTTCTTCTCTCTTGGTGTATGCTTTGGAGCTGTTATCATGTATTCCTCTTACAATAACTTCAACCATAATGTGTTAAGGTAATTTAAAAATATTTAACAATAAGATGCAGTTAAATATTTAACCCAGTAATATTATAAAAGACAAACCTTCCAGAGACTGTACATTGGTAACTACTCTGGACCTGTGTACCAGTCTCATAGCCGGAACTACCATCTTTGGTATCCTGGGTAATCTTGCTCACGAATCAGGAAAAGAAGACATCAGCACCGTGGTGCGCGCAGGAACAGGACTCGCTTTCATTTCTTATCCGGAAGCACTTGCAAAGTTCACGGTGGTACCACAATTATTTGCTGTACTCTTCTTCTTGATGATGTTCATATTAGGAATCGGTACCACTGTTGCCTTTGCTGGAGTCATTAGTAGCATCATCAAAGACAAATTTCCTCAACTTCCTGATTGGAAGGTCGCTGGCGGTGTTTCTTGTGCTGGCTTCCTGGTTGGAATCGTTTACTGTACTAGAGTGAGTATAATTTCATATTTCCACGGTACAGCTAAGTAATATAGTGTAATTTAGAAAATTTATAAATTGCTGTACAGGGAGGACAGTACATATTAAATCTGGTGGATTATTTTGGTGGAACGTTCATCATCGTTTTCTTAGCTTCTTTTGAAGTGATTGCTATTTCTTGGGTGTACGGTAAATCATTCAACATTCACCTTCAACATTCATTTCTTATTTGGATAGATTTTTAGCAATTGTTTACATTTTTGCAGGTGTTGATAATTTTTTGGATGACACTGAATTCATGGTCGGTTCCAGACCATCATTTTATTGGAGATTATGCTGGGGTTTCTTAACTCCTCTCTCTCTCTTCTCCATTCTAATCTATTTTCTATCAGAGTTGAGACCTATCACCTACAAGGATGAATATTATCCAACTTCCGCTTATGGTATATTCAAATATTTTTTCTATAAACACTTTGCAGTGTATTTCTGTTTAAATAAGAGTTTTCTGAATTTTCTAGTCGCTGGTTGGTTGATTTTGATACTGGGAGTGATACAACTTCCTATTTGGATCATTGTTGGCAGATTGAAACAGGAAAAAAGTGAATCTTGTTTAGATGTAAGTTATTGCTAAAGTATATACACACATTTATTAATATATTTAATAAAATTTTATTTCTCCGTGTTTTAGATGTTAAAACCAAATCCTGACTGGGGTCCAAAAGATCCAATAAAACACAAAGAATGGAAGGACTTTAAGGATTCAAAGAGGATAGCAAGGACGAACTCGAACAAGAAAAGATCAAGAATCATTGCTATGTTAATCGGAGATAATTAAATAGTAGCAGTAAGATTGATGAAATAAATGTATCTTCAATTGTTATCAATAAAATATTTCATCTACTTTTGTACACATTTTTTCCTGTTGAATAAATATTAAATTGTTATTTTATTTTAATGATAAGAATCGACAGGTATTAAAATCTAGTTTGAAGTATCGACAGTACTTCTCTAAAAAGAGATTCGTTATATTCAGTCTCTGATTATCTTCCTTTTCCCTTGTTTTTACCGATCAAGATGTGGACTAATTGGAGCCACTTGGGACCAGTTCGGAGACTCCTCTCCTTTGCTTTTTCTTCTTTGAAACGAAGCCAATCGTTCTTGTACTTAATTTCTCTGGGACCCCATTTCGGAGATGGACGCAAAGACTTCTCCAAATTCTACAGTAAGAACGTAAAGATAATTACTTAAGAAATGAACATAAAAGAAAACATAATGCAAGAAATATAAATAAATACAAACGATACCAGTAAAATTGATAGATCTCTATTTTTGTACATCCGTACAATCATCCAGAAAGGTATTTGTGAGACACTGAAGCAGAGTATAGCTATTCCAGTTGCATGAGCCCAAACCGGAAGCGGTTTGTCACCATACGTCAAGGGAGACAAGGTAGCGACGGTATAGAAGAAAATACATATCAAAATTAATGGTGTCACAATAAACCAACAGATCCTCCAGTAACAGCTCATTTTTCTATCCAACATAAATTCTATATCGTCCAGTAAATTTTCTATACCTATTCACAGAAAAAATATAGAATAATACAGGAGATTCTAGTCGTGTTTAAAATGATATTGAAAAAGCTACAAACCATATACCCAAGTGACAGCAGTCATTTCAAAGGATGCCAAGACAAACACAACAAATGATGTGTCATAGTAATCAACCAATGTTAACAAGAATTGTCCACCCTGAACACAAAGAATAGAATCAATATATTAATTAAATCAATGTCATTTTTTGTGTGTACCTACTGATAACAGATATCTTTCAAGTGTGAATTTAAACAGTGATTTATAAAAGCAGCATTCCTGATTTTAATCAATGATGATAAAATTGTTTGAAATTGATAGAACTATTTATTTTACATACCGGAGTTACGAATACTGTACTAATAAGAAATCCAATTGAACAAACTGAAACGACAACTTTCCATAATTTTTCATTCGGTAACTTTTCTTTCAGAGCAACAACTATTGCAGAAACCATTCCAACGATGCTTCCCACTCCCAGTACAAACATCATTACGAAAAACAGCACTGAAAATAACTGTAAAATACATTTTTTCTTAACGATCATCCTGAAATGAATTCATTGATTTAGATATGTAAGAAATACATCAAAAGCATATAATCAGGTAATCTTGTAAACAGTTTGATTAAAACATCTTTATAATATATCATGATCTCTATCATTTCGAGAACAACTTGTTTACCTGTGGCAGCCATCCAAATTTGGCTATCGCATCCGGATATGAAATAAATGCTAGAGCAGCTCCAGATTTCACTACTGTACCAATGTCTTCAACGTCCATTTCATGAGCTAGATTACCGAGGATTCCAAAGATCGTGCACCCTGCTATTAAACTGGTCAGTGTATCAAGACTGGTCACAATCATAGCGTCTCTGAAATATAAAATCTCCATCAGAATTGTGTTTCTTGAAATTATACATAACGAAGAAATAATCGATGAGGCTGTTGTTTCTTTATCACTCGAGGTACCAACGACCATCCTCACCTATAAACATTGTGTTTGAAGTCATTGTGACTGGAGTAAGTGATAATAGCACCAAAACAAACAGAAAGGGAGAAGAAACATTGCGTTACAGCCGCGTACCACACAGTTGGCTTCAAAAGCATGGACCATTTTGGAGTAATGAAAAACAGAATTCCATTCAGTGCCCCTTCAAGGGTGACTGCTCTGATTAAAAGACTGATCAAAATGATATAAGGGAAAATAGCGAGGAAATAAGAAGCTTTTCCTGAACTTTTCACACCCTTGAACGTGATGAGAATAACAGATAACCAGCTGAAAATAAGACACAGGGTCAATTTCCAATCGGGCAATCCGATTCCATCGTCGATATTGTCTTTCTCTTGAAGTATCACTTTCCTGAAATTATAAAAATAATTTCAGGCTGATGCAGGTTTATAAGAAATTTCATGTTTTACAATTAATAAATTTTATCAAAGAATATCATGTAAAAAAAATTACAAGAAAAACAATTCTGCTGAACTTCTGCGTTGATCGTCATTCCTAAAATTTGTAAACATGGTGTCATTTTTATCACTGATCTTTCTACCGGAATCAACGCAAGAATCACCCCATTCTTCTCTGCATTTGGCCCAAGGTAGTTCAGCAGAAAAGGAGTTGACGAGGTAGATCAGTGACAGAGCCAACAATGAGCTATAATATGTCATCACTGCGATATTGGAATAAAACTGAGACCAGCCAACACCTGGAACAATAAAATTACATTAAAATGCCTATAAACAGACTATCAGTTGATAAGGTGTTAAATGAAATGAAATTACCAACGAAAGCAGGAGACAGTTTCCAAACTCTGATCGATGAAGATGAAGAAAACTGACCGAGTACCATTTCTAAATAATAAAAAGGTTTTCCAACAAGGAAAAGAACAATGATATAGGGGATGAGGAACGCTCCACCACCGTTTTCGTAGGCGATGAATGGAAATCTCCAAATATTTCCAAAACCAATGGACATAGCGATGCAGGACATCAAAAACTCGATGCTGTTGTTCCATGTATATTTATCTATCGGTTCCTTCGTGATCTCTGAACACCTGGAGAGCTGAGACTCCCTTGGTTTTTCAGAAGACGTCTTTCTTTTCTCTCTTTCGTCCAAAACGAATGCCTTGTTCCACTGTCCCTGTTCTGGGTCGTCGTTCTGCCACATATTGCACAAATTACGAAAGCTCGTTATACAATTTTTCGTCGCCTTATACCTTTCAGATAGCGGGGAATTAACTTTAAGCCCTTTATGCGCAACAGGTTACACCTTATCTTGATATCACTGTGCTGTTTTAGCAATGAAAAAGGAAAAAAAAAAAGTGAATAAAATTAGTGTCTTTTATTGTTTGGCCTTATGACGAAATCGTCGAAAGTTGCTCTTGCTTTTTATAACTTTGTAACGTAGGATCATTGAAGTTTTCATTGTGATGCTGATGAGAACTGGTGAGATTTCTTTGAATTTTTATAGTTGGTGTGATGTTTGTGACAATATTTGATTATTGCTTCTTCAGATCTTCTCAATAATTTATAACATTAGATGATAGTTCTTCCAAGTTACATTGATGCTTCTGATGAGAGTGATGACAGCGTTGATGACGAGGATGTTGAACTAGAAGGTAATCAACTAAAAGGGGGAAAAAGGTCTGTCTTTACTCACCGTTTTCTCCTTCATTCTGCACTGAAACAACCGATTTAAAGAAGTATTATGAATAGAACATTACACGTGGGCGATCGACATCGAGCATCTGCTCTTATATCACAAAGCTGGTACGTTGATACCAGACTACACCGAACAATCAAAAATCCTTGATGATAAAGCGATCATGATCCCAACATTTAGATTATATTGCAATTCTCTACACCCGATCTGATAACGAGAGATCTAACGGATTACATGCTTGAACGTAAGTTGAAATTGATAATTTGACAATAAATATTTAACAATATTTATTAACATTTCATTCTATGTTAAAAAGAAAAGGGACGAGGAAAAAGAAAAATATAAGTAACGTGATTTTGTGTCTGATTAATCAATGATTTGATGACTAATTTATTGTAGAAAGATGTGTTTAATAAATAAAAAATGTGTATATTAAAATACTCTCAACGGCAGTTGCAATTACCTCATCACAATCATCCCATATACGTTTGGCTGCTATTCCAGTATATGTATAATAATACTGTGTCTTATGTTGCTACAAATCAGCTTTTCTTTGAAAATAATAAACATTTGACCTCAAGATTATTCTTGGAAGTCAATTTTATCCAACTGAGCTGATTAGTCTGAATTGGTTACAAATCAATTTTTATCAAATCAACTACCTTTCAATCTAAAAAATTTTACAATAATTTTACGAAAAGCAAATGGATTTTTAATGAAAACTAACACACAGGTACAAATGATTCGTAGAACGGCGAGCTGAAAAATTTCAAAAGGAAAGAAACTACAGAACGAGTCTACTTAAAATTCTACTTATACGGGATTTCAAAATACACCCTGTACATAAGCTTCAGATATTAAACTACATCTACAAAAAAAAAAATTAAAGCAAAGAATACTGAAACTATAAAAGTGACTAAGAGAATTCATTTAAAAAAATTGCGTGACTGAAACGATACCGTAGAATTATGTAGAATGAAGAACATGTTTCTTATTTACTATTACACGAGTTTGTCCTCCCAACACAGCAATACGTAAACGAATTGCTTAATTCTCGAGCATTGCCGTTTTTCTTTTATTTTCCTTCTGATCTCTTTGAATTCGCTCCAGGAAGCCAGTTCTCTGGTATTTTTGGGTCCCCAATTCGGGGAGGGTCTAAAGGCAGATTTGATCATCTGCAAATACAAGTGAACACTTAACATCTTATTACTTTGATATATTTCCACATGATTTTTACCTCAGAGACTTGTAAATTCTTTTTGGAAATTATAGTGTACATCATCCAGAATGGAATTTGTAGTATGCCAAAGGCACAAATGGTCCATCCAGCAGCTGTAATGTTATCATGATAAATAATTTAATTATACATTAAAATATACGTTTATATGGTATTAAAACCAACCATGTGCACTGTCTGGATAGGAAATACCGCTGTAAGTAAGTGGTTGTAAGGTAGCTAAAGTATAAATTAAAATCACAGCTAGTAGAAGAGGGGTAATAACGCTCCAACAGACTCTCCAATAAACGGACGGTCTTCTCTTCAGCATGTACTCCACGTCGTCCAAGAAATTCTCCAAACCGTACACCCAGAAAATACCGGTTATCTCTAGGGTAGCTAAGATGAAGACGATGAAAGAGCCGGCGTAATAATCGACCAATTCTAACATGAACTGACCACCCTGTGAATAAATAAAAATTCATTAAATAATTTTCAATTGCGAGCTTGAAAAGATTACTTACAGGTGTACAATAAATCATGCCAACGCAAAATCCGAATATAACTGTACCGAGTACAACATAGATATACTTGAAACTTGGAAACTGATCGCTGACAATGGTGATAATTGCACCTGCCAATGCAATGGCACTTCCTATACCAAGGACGTATAACATCAGAAAGAACAAGACTGAAAACAGCTGCAAAGGATAATGATAATTAGATAGAGAATTAGTGTGAACGGTAAATTGAATGCTCGTTAAATTCTTCACCTGTGGAAGGACGGTGAATTTTGCTATAGCATCAGGATAAGAGACAAACGCAAGACCGGTTCCACCTCGGACCACGTTACGGATGTCTTCGACACCCAGTTCATGCGCCAAGTTCCCCAGGATCCCAAAAATAGTGAAACCTGCCATTAAACTGGTGAATGTATCCAGAGTCGTCACCACGATAACGTCTCTAGGATGAAATAAAGTTCAGAATTGAAAATGGACACATTCTCTTGAATTGAATATTCAGGCTCTTACATTACATAACATTGATAAGGTCGAATAGCAAATATAAATTCCAACGCGTGAAATCGCTCTTCCATTTAATCATTATTTTATGTTGAAAGAGTAACCTGTATATATTGTGTCTAAAATCGTTGTAGGACGAGTACATGACGACACCACCGAAGCACACCGACAGTGAAAAGAAGCACTGTGTTACAGCAGCGTACCAAACGTTCGCATCGAACAGCTTCCCCCAATCCGGCTTGATGAAGAAAATAATCCCGTTCACGGCACCGTCCAGCGTTACCGCTCTGATCAGCAAGCTGATCATGATGATGTAAGGGAAAATAGCGAGGAAATAGGCTGCCTTTCCAGAACTCTTCACTCCCCGTGCAAGGACAGCGAATATACAACTCCAAGCGACCAGTAGACAAATTGTCAGCTTCCAATCTGGAGCTCCAATACCATCGTCGATGTTTGTCTTTTCTTTCAACACCACTCTTCTATAATTAAAAATGTTTCTATATGTAGACTATGACCTTAAACCGCATGATTCATGGATGACAATAATAGAGCTACGCAATCTGGAACACCTTGAGATAATAGAGATTACTATAAAAACATGTTTTCGTCGCGAAATTCACCTAAAATACAGTTCAGCAGAAGTAATCATAGCTGTTCCATTTCGTTCGGTGACGTTATAGGATCCTCCTGAGTCGACGCAAGAATCTCCCCATTCTTCGAGACACGTGGACCAAGGAAGTTGTGATTGAAAGCTTCCAATTAGATAATAAAGTGTCACAGACATAAGAGAACAATAGTAGGTTCCCACAGCGAGCATGGAGAACATCTGTGCCCAGCCTACGCCCCGAAATCCTGGTGCTATGAACAATTAAGTCCAAATTAAATTTTTAAGAACTTGCGAAATATAATCTTCATTCGAATCTCCGTTGATAAATTCACGAGTTTATAAAATTCAAATTATTCATACCTGCTGACCACATTTTCACCGAAGATCTGCTGCAAAATTGCCCCATTATCATCTCTAGATAGTAAAACGGTTTGCCGACCAAGAAGAGGACGATGATGTATGGTATCAGGAACACTCCACCACCATTTTCATAAGCGGTGAATGGGAATCTCCAAACATTGCCAAGACCAATGGACATGGCAATACAGGACATCAGAAATTCCATTTCATTGCCCCAGGTTGCTCTTTCTGTTTCATTCTCCACAATCGACTGTTTTTAAGAAGAATATTTTTACACGAACATTGTCTTTATGTACAGAATGGAAAGTAGAATTTTCTGATTTTTATAAGCATACCATTTCCTCTGGAAGTGATAAGGAAAGTGGTAATTTGCGATCGTCCTGGACCCCATAATTAAAGTTGAAGGAATCATTTGCTTGAAACTAAAATCACTTACAACTTTAATCGATCTACCTTGACTTAAAGCTTCATATTCTACATCCTACATTTAAATAGTTACCTTCTTATCACCGTCTACGTTGGATCCCTGAAAGTCAGTGGTTTTGTGTTCGTCGTCCCCAACAAAAGCAGCATTTTGTCTTCCTTGCTGCAACAAAAGCGTTAGATCAGAGTAATATTTTTCAAAGGAAAATAACAGTTACATCTTTGAACGAACAAAAATCGAGAGTAAAAACTGTATTCTATGGATCTACGTTCGCGTTCGTTGCACTCGCTGCGTTCTTCTGTCTTTTTCTGTCGTGTAGATTGAAAGAACCGTCACATGAAACAACTAACATCATTCTTGTTTAACATCCAAGGACACTTTCCAAAGTCTACACGCGATGCGCTTGGTAAATTACATCTCTGGATGTTCGGAGTACGTAAATCGGCCTGGTGACTTCAATGCTCGCACGCGAACGCATTTTAAAATATCGACTACCTACTTCTCTACAAGAATTTATAGAAAAAAAAAGGCTATCTACTTATTGCGAACAACACAAACATAACACCGTCCGTCGATGAATTAATTATTACTAATGAATAAAAGCCGGATAACAGTGATCGTGCATCTTCTACAGAAATGCAAGACGTTGATAAGCACGATTGCATGGTGTATCGCTGTTTCAGAACCGCATTCCTCCAATGTTGTTACACACAACGTTCCAAACATTTTAGTTCATCGTTGAGTCTCGAAACGGTATTTCAAAACGTTCATTGACATTCGCGCAAACAGCAGACCACTCTTGTAGAAGTGTCTGATGCAACGCACTATCGAATTATTTAAAAAATCCCGATTCCCAACTAGTCACAAGTAATCCTGGCTATCCGATTTCCAAACGTTACTTCAGACTTCTGGATGAAAGGTATAAGAAGTATGTTGTAAGAAATTAATTATTAAAAGCGAAGGTCGGTACGTACTTAAATGAATTTTATGAATCTTTATAGTATTCAAAATATTTTCTTGGGAGAGTCATAATTATTACATTCATTGCTTGTTTGTGTACTTATCAAATGACCCACGTAGAAGATGCAACTATTTTCGCCCCTCCGCTTTCGTTTTGTTACACTTTACATGTTTCTGTTGTTCACTTCTAGAATAATTAGTGTGCCCCGTTGCGTAAACGAAGCCGGTTCAACAGCTTTGCAATCATTTTGTAATGTCAAACGTGATACTTTGGCCTGTTATTACAGTCGCTAGTCTAGTGGACACCTTAGCTTTCATTGTGCTCTAAAAAAAAAAAAAAAAAAAAAAAAAAAAAGAGGGATATTCGTTTTTTTTTGTCGAGAGAAAAAGTATATAAAAATTTAGGTCGTAAAGTTGAAAGGACGGAAGAAAGCAACAAAGATACTTTCACGATCCATTTAGCTGATTTTTCGTGAACAACGTTACATCACAACGAAAGCGATTGTCTCTTTACTTTCATGTACATAGTCGCTTCGCGTCCTCCTTATTATCTCTTTGACGGAATAATAATTCAAGTGTTAATTACTTTCGCTGCAAACGCACGATTCGTGTCAGATATCTTGAAACTAATGTATTCATTTATAAATTTTTACTTTATATTTTTTATTTTCCAGCTTTGCAACGAGTCAGATTAATAACTTGCGTGCATTAACATTTAATAAATGTATGCAATGACATTTTCCAAGTGAAGAATTCGAATAAATTGAAATCCAGAAAAAGTAATGAAAAGGTCAAGGTGTTATTGTTCGATTGCTTGACAATTTTTCGGGGCTGAACAGCGAAAGCGATGATCGTCGTTGAGTCACGTACTATGCATTGTAAATGCACGTTGCATTGAAATCCAAATACCAGCAGCACTCTCACGCGACCTTACGAAACGTATTCACATGACTCTTCGTTCCCTTTGTTTTGATTATGGCAACACGTGTCGTTTCTCACCACGTGGTTGCCTACTGAAACCCAGCATCGAGCAACTGTTTATTTCAGAACACTCCTTACAAACTGTTCTTATATAATGACAATTACAATTGTTGGAAAGAAGGAATCTATGTTTATCAGTCCTTCAAGCTTAAAATAACGAATCTTTTCAAGAAACATGTACATATAAAAAAAAGATTACCATGATGTAATATAAATCATGAAATAATCTTAATTTTTTACAATACCTATAATAGAACAAGGGTCAGTAAATTGTTGAACGTTAATGTAGAAACAGGTAGCCGGTTATTAGCATAAAGATTCAATGATAAATCATACCTTGTGCATGTTCTCAATTCAGCGGCTAATTGGAATGACAGCAAGGACGAGGGATATCCGATCAGGAGGTTGAGTGTCGTAAAACGCGCAGAAGGTCTCGAACTTACAGCTTTGTGACATCTATAGCACCGGTCGCGACAAGTGTATCCTATCACCTTCACGAGGACCAAACAACAACTGACCTGGGACCAGCTACGGTGCGCTTGTCATGAAAGTAATCGAAGTAGGGATCGCAAAAGCTTGACTGAATCAAGAAGGGGGAAATGCGATTCCCGTTTTCTACCTGCTCTCTGTTGTCATTTCTCCTTCCATCATCATATGGCTTCTTGTTTTATTACTACTCTTTCTTCCTTCCTTTTCAGTACAATTATGGTCATAAAAAAAAAAAATCAACACCCTGAGGGCTTCCGGTTTCAACATCTTCTATAGTCATTGATTCTTTTTACCTGAATGAAAGTTACATTATGAATTTTTAAGAATTCATATAATAGTAATTGCCAGAGAATATTAATTGTTCAGATCAAAGGAATAAAATTATTTGAAGAAACCTCTGGTCTTTTGCACGGGCTGAGCTTAACGAACCTTGCTAATTATTCGACCTCCTTGCATCAAGGATGAATGTAAATTGCAGCGACACTGGGATGCTGGAAGAACGAGAAAAGAAACAGGAAATCGAGATAAATGCATTTCAAACTCAACAAACTCTTCTTTAAATTTAAGCGTCTTCTGCCTCCATCTTCGTTTACTGTAACATTAAATTAAACAATATAAATGTTCAGTTTAAACATAAAATGAAATGAAATTAATTAAAATATTAAATATACCTGAATGATTTTATCCTTATTTATATAACGTACTGTTAGTAGTTAAAATGTTAAGAACGATTTGCATTTCGATTAAGTCAGGGGAATTCCATTTACGCAAGCTTGAGAGGTCTCGAAACGGGAGATCCTAATTTTTTTTTTCTTGTCCCAGCAAATGTAGTCGCCAATTCGAAGACCATTACCTTAGCAAACGTCCTTCGGCAGTAGTTAAGGGACAAGGGGATCTATACAAGTGAAAGTAAAAAGCGATCCAGTTAAATCTGACGTTAACTGGATAATCGTGATCGAAACCGACTTGTGATAACATTATTTTTGCATCGCTACTGAACAAATGGTTATTCAATTAATGTTTTATAAATTATTAACAGAGAAATAAATTAAACTGAAAGATCGTATCTCTTATAGCGGTCAAATTACATTTTTCTAGCTCAACGAACGATATATCCGATATATAAATCAACAGACAAAAAGATGATCAGAGTTTCATCTGTTCTACAACAATTCTAATGTACAATGGTAATCTAAATTGCATCAACGCGAATATTTAGACAGGAAGTCTAAACTACCACTTTTCAATTGAAAGTAAAATAATAGCAATTTTAATTTAGCCTTTACCATGAATCTACTTCAATTTTATATAACATGTTTGATGGCAACAGATCATTTTGCTGTTGTCTTTGTTTAGAATTATGTTCTTCTTCCGTCGTTTCCAGCATCCGTGCATCCGCCTATATAATTCCTGCTGGAACGGGACAGGACAACGATGTTCCTGACTGATGTCTTCACGCATTGCGAGTCGTGGATTCCATCTGCGTTACGTAGTGCGAATTGAAGCGTTTTCTAACCGGATGACAGGTAGAGTGAACGGTCAAGGCTTCCCCGAAGAACTGGTCGAGGCAGTTTTCTTGCTCTTGATTCCTGACAACAAAGACCCATTTTATTAGACGTCGAATTAGAAAACACGTGCCGCGTTCGAGGGCCAAAAACAGGTGTGCAAAGTGTTAGGAAACATCTAAAGCCGTTTCGGTTGTTAAAATAAATCAGTAATTTTTCAACTGTATTTACCATAAAGATGTACTTACATTCTCATTTACCTTTATTCTGATTCTCAACGTTGTTACGCCATCAATTAACGTTCGACAATGATTTGTGCGAATTTAATTTTTTCTGAATTTTGATTACCTTGGCAAAGTTCAAGCTTAGTAATAACGTATCCGCTAATTTGTGTGACACTTCTTTTCTGCTATTCCGACCAGATTAATGAATTATTAATCCAAGATACACCAGGAGTTCGATATTTCAAACGTTTAGGTTTTACGATTAGATCAACCGTCAAATGCACTGCGTCGGTAATTATTATCGACTGCCATTCGAATTTCAAAAAAGAACATACAAAATGACGTACATAGTTTCATAGTTTCACACTGTGGTCATCTGTGAATTTCTATTAAATTATGAAAAGTTAATATTATTTAATTTTTCGTATGCGTGCTCTTATATTTTACATAGAATTACACAAAACTTACAATACCCACTTGTGATGTAATTCAAATTGAAATTTAATTACATGAATACGCATGCGCACTTTGTACGCTGTTTACAAAGCGAGGTTATGTATATCAAAAGCAACACATTTTGTGTACAGAAGGAACGTGTAGTAAAACCCAGAAAATAAAGAAAAGTGTAATAGTAGTTTAGAAGATTATTGTATAAAGCTGATTGTTATATACTTAAGAAATGGATGACGAAGCTGAAACATATAAATTATGGCGAATAAGGAAAACAGTGATGCAATTGTGTCATGATCGAGGTTATCTCGTTACGCAGGATGAATTGGATCAAACTTTAGAACAGTTTAAAGAACAGTTCGGTGATAAACCGAGTGAAAAAAGGCCAGCCCGTAGCGATCTTATTGTCTTGGTAGCGCACAATGACGATCCGACTGATCAGCTTTTTGTATTTTTCCCAGATGAACCAAAGATTGGAATTAAAACCATTAAAACTTATTGTCAACGTATGCAAGAAGAAAAAATTCATAGGTAATGCTTCTGAATCATAATCGCTTAATAATCTTGTTATTAAAACAAACCTCAATGTTGAAAGTCTGTTGACATAAGACCGATACTTTGTTTTATGATAGGGCTATCATTGTTGTACAGCAAGGGATGACACCATCTGCTAAACAATCATTGGTTGACATGGCACCAAAATATATATTAGAACAGTTCCTAGAGTCTGAATTACTTATCAATATCACAGAACACGAATTGGTACCTGAACACATAGTGCTTACTCCAGATGAGAAGGAAGAATTGCTTAGCAGGTATAAATTAAAAGAAAATCAATTAATGCGTATACAAGTTGGTGATCCAGTGGCACGTTATTTTGGTTTAAAACGTGGACAGGTTGTAAAAATCATTAGGCCTTCTGAAACTGCTGGAAGATATATTTCTTATAGACTTGTATGTTAAATAAATACTTTTATAACAAAGAATTTATGGTTAAGAATGGATTGTTAAGTGTAAATTACAAACTACATAATTTTTATAATTATCATATAAAAACAAAATTGATAAATCTATTTTATCAGTTATAAAAAATAGAATAGACAATCATATTTTTACATAGTCTTTTATTATACTATCATAATTATGTTTAATAATTACATAATAAATAGTTTAATATCAACTATACAGGAGGCAGTTAATAACTTTTCATTGGCTTGCCATTAACTTAAAAAGACAATACAGTTTTATACAGTTTACAATCAATCCATAAAATCAGAGTCAACAAAATGAAATTTGTTCAAATATATATATTTTATTATACTTCATTATTATACACTTCTTGGTCCAGATATATCATGGTATATTGTCATAAGACAACTCAATTCCAAATTCACTCAAGCAATTGTACACATATAATTCCACAAAATTCTTTATAATAATTGTATGCGTATATTGCTTTATTAATTTTACTTTAACATTTAATATTAAGTACTTGGAAAACAAAAATAATACATTCATAAACACACGCTAGTAACAAATCATAAAATTGTATAACTATGATTAAAGACTAAAACCATTTTAAAACGTATAAAACAATTAAATTTGTTTAGTATATACTTTGAAAAATCTATGCTACTAATTTCTCATAAGTTGTGATAAAGTTTCACTATACCACATTCATATTTATGATAACATCAACCATAAAACTAGAATAAAAGTGATAAATCTGTGTTCTAGCAGTTTCAAACACTATCGTGATGATATTATTCACCTTTCAATCTCATTAGCGTAATACTTACATTATCAGGAACTACATAGAGTAAATAATCTCAAAAATACTGGCACTAAGGGGAGAAACAATTGCATTTTAATCTTAAATGTTCATAACCACAGTTTTTATATGATATTGAAATAAAAGATCATATTCTTGGCAATCGCGTCATCGCGTAATTATTGCAGTCTTTGTATATCAGAAACTATCGTTTTAGATTATTTGCTTTCTTTTGTTTATCTATTTTAAATATAGTGCATGCATAGATACTTATCTATAATGATTTGACAAAACAGCTAAGATATTTCACTTTCAATATGAACAGTTTTTTGGTTCTAATAAAATAGCTGTGGATATGGGCATAAGTAAATAAAGCATATAAATATAATTAATATAATATATTGTTATCAATAAAATGTAACATAACGAATAATAATTAGTATAATAATAATAATAATAATAATAATAATAATAATTACACAATAAAACTACGTATTTCAAATGTTTACACGGAAATAAGAAAGTGAGAATTACCGAAATAATCAGATAAAAAGAAGTATTTAAAAATATACACGATTTTTAGATTATTTTTCTCAACTAATCCGTTTTAAGACAGAAACGTTATACATACCATTCGTTCAAAAGTCAAGTCTATTTCGCATGGCCGATTTCTTATACCGTATGTATCGCTTTTTGGCATGTCAGAAAAATGCATTACAGGGAATAAAATCATTATAAAAACTCCGTGAACACCGTGAACTGAAATTAACGTTTCACGTAAAAGACAATATATTTATTCTAATTTTCTAAGTTTTTCCATTCGTTAATGTTTCTTAAATTACAATGAATAAATCAGTCGCTCGTTGTGTTTGAGTTTCAATGTGAATATGTATGTACCACGTTCGTGTAAAAAACTTGTATTACATTTAACTCCTTTTCCATCATAAAAATCTCTGGAAAATAAACACCACATCTCGAACGAACAAATTTATGTCGTAGCATATTTGATAGTAGTAAAAATAAGATCTTTCAGCATTATTGGCGAAAACAAGAACGCGAAAACACCTTGCTTAAGACGTTTCTTACTTCCTTTGCTAATACTTAAAAAGGATTTACCTCAAAAGATGTCAGAATTGTTATTCAACGTACAGTCTGAAAAGTACAAGTCTATATTATATAATACACAGCAAATATATCTGATGTATTGATATCAGATGTATCTTAACCATTGGAAGAATCCTTTCTTCCGCAAATATTTGTAAAAATATTCACAACATAGAGGCAGAATGGTGTGCATTTTATGCCAAAAGGCGACGCGTTTTTAATACTACATCTATATAAAGTTCTTGTATCTTGCGTATGGGTAGTTTACTAGGCTCTTTATCACCAAGGTCCCCCGTTCTTCGAACAGCAAATTTGTATTGAAAAATACAATTGTTTATGTCAGCCCGCTTATAAACCTGTCTTTCGAAACAATAAGCATTTATCGGTTTTTAATACAACCAATACTTCTCATTATTGATGTATACAGCTGATGATGTACGTCTTCGTACATGTACTCCATTAATGGACTACCAAGGTATAGGAAACACCAAGTTTCGTTCATCCCGTGTAAATACTATAAATGTATCATTACGTTCTACTCAAGTATTCACGAAAATGAAATGAGATTGTTAGATGTGTCTACCGTACACATACAGAGTCTATTAATAACTTTGAATGGTACCGATATCAGTCCCATTGAAAAATTTCTCTTTACAGTTTCAATGATAACAAAACAAACGCATTCTACCCTGTTGTATGCTGTATCAAGGAACTCTACGCTCGCTTACGTGAAATTACCGAACATGGAAAAGCTTTTTCAGTGAGACCAATAAACAGCATCAAAGATATATCGAGCTCGATTAAACAACTCTACGTCTAGACCACCAATACATCCTGGTAGCCCATTCAATAGGTGGAGTTTGTAAAATATTGTTGATTAATTCTGCAGTAAGTCTGATCCTGTATGTGATAGTGGTGGGATAAAGCGGCCGATGCCTCTGGCCTCTGTGCGCGCAACATGAGGCCTGAAATAAATCCTTATTTGATTGGAAGACATTTGAAATGGAGAAATTAATAATCAAGATGTTATTGAAAGCATTGCTAACCTAGGAGTGATATGGAGTAACATATGTAGATGGAAAGAGACCCCGCCTATTACCAATTTCACCGTGCCACCAGTGTTGATCCGTGCGATCAGTAACAGTAATTACATCGCCCCGTTTGAATTCCAGTTCACCAGGTTCCTGGGGTTGGAAATCGTACAGTGCTTGTACTAAACACTGTAACACAAAATACCGCATAATTATTTTCAGTTGATATTCATTTAATTTCAGTGATGATCGTATGAGACGTAATTACTTCTTCTGGAACCATATCCCTTAATTTAACGTCTTGCGAGCGAGATACAGATGCTGTACGATGATATTCTACTAATTCATTAAGACTGTTAAATTTAACCACCCATAGAAAGAATTTGCCCTGAGCGTCTCTCAGTACCTTAAAGTGTTGGACACCATCCGAACATCTGGAAGAATCATTAAACACTGATCGAATCAATTCGTTTATATGTAAACTGTGTCTCTGAGGATTCATTTACTAACTTGACAGACAAAGAGAAATCACCAGGAGAACTTTCACTAATTCTAATAAGAAAGGCGCCTTCGTGTTTGTTCATTAGTAATCTTTCGGCATCTGCTCTGGTTATCCTTCCATAGTACCAGCTATACGAAAAACAAACAATAACGTTACAACTGCATGGTATGTTTAACCAATTCATAAATGCAACTTATGGTGGTGCTTACTCATGATTTTTCATTTCTATGTAATTACTTGGAATGAGTCCTTCTCTAGAATCTAATTCGGCTCTATACCAATTCATGTCATCTTCCATATTTAAAATCTGTAAGGATAAGCAGTCTTAATATACATAAGAAATATTAAAATATATATTTTGCAGGAAGCTAAATAATGAGAAATAAACCATAGATCTAGAAGAAAATTAAACAAATAATGAAAAGGATCTCATATTTTAATAGTTTATTTTAACATTAAAAAAAACCGAAAGGCTAAAGTAGCGGTAATCATCAGTTTGTAGAACGCTGCGTACAGTCGTAAATATCCTTAAACGACACGCGATATCCGCTTGCATGAAAGCAACTCAGAAAGTTCGGGATTGGTAAGTTCTATCGATGAAAATCAGGAATACAGAAGAAACTAATGATTTTCTCATGGTTTAAGAATGTTCTTCAGACGATGACAAGTGACGTACGAACCTTTAAGATCTGACTTCTACGAAAACTAAGCTCATCTTCGGCTGTCGCCGTAAAATCGTGCTTTGCTATCGCCTCCATTCTTCTTCCTCGTCCCTCGAGAGCAAGAACGAAAGAGAGGGAAAAAGAGAGGCAGTAGTGTATCTAGTCCTCAAAGGCAGCAGCAAAATCAGCCACCTTTGTTTGCCAGTTGAAAAAATTCAGGCAAATATAAGCCTTCGTCCGTTTTTATACGAACACAATATTTTGCGTTATGATTTCTATCTTTTCGACGTGAGACACGTAGTGGTCACAATACAACGCGCGCACACACACCAACCACTTGTGCTTTTTTTCTGTTTGTGTGATTTTCTGAATTAGTCTTTCATCAAGTTTATTCGATGATACGTTCAAGCATACATGTTAGGCGTGATCGTAACACTTTTCACAAATATTCCTATACTTTCCAGTCAGTTTTCCGTTGAACTGTCAAAACTGAAAATACGATCACGCACTCTCACGGCTGTCCATCGCTCGTCTTATCAGACATTACACTCTCGACTCTCCCACTGGATCCTCTCACTGTGTTCGGTCCAACAATGCGCACTAGTAACTGCGCAGCCTGATGTCTGAATTTCTTTTCCGACAAACTATAGAAATATGTTCACCGTATCGAACACCGTTTGAATAGTTATGAGATTCGAGTTAAACGACCTGTCCACGTTTGTCGCGGAGTTTCGTATGCCATGGAAAAGGAGATACCGATTCAACGAGACGAAAAGCCCAAGCGCGTACTACTTTTCCGTGGCGCAGGCGTGCGCATGCGTGTTTTCAGACATGCTGCGTCGACGTCGACTGCTCCACCACCATTTTATACATTATGAGATCGACAGAATGCATGCCCGTGTTGTTACTTGTAAAGGTATTTGCATTCGTTAGCTATTACATTTTCACCAAATATATATCCTTCTAAGATGTTCAATCGTTTGTAAGTCAGGCATATCTTATTATCTTTATTTTATCATTTACGCGAAAACAAACGTCCAAAATTATAGTTTGATAAATCGATTTGACATGTACATATACTTATATACATATGTATTTAACTGATCGTTTAAACTTCAGAACACGTTTCTTAGGAATAATACAAATTACCAGGAATCCTATCAGAAGATTAGATACAAACGGATGTAGCGAGCTACCATGTGTTTCCCATTTTCCGTAATTTCCTGCTGTATAGAATGAATTGTGATTGAGTAATCGAAATTGAACACGCTGTATGTAAGTGCTGACTACAGTCTATATTCTTTGCGCAATTACCGTATTCACCGTATCCTATTAATTTCGATGAATCAGATTTTACAAATACAAAAGATTAAATAATGCATTATTATCTATTGAAAATTATCTTTCAATTTACAGAGAGTAATCTATCTTCTTCTTGCTCTACCTACAATTAACCGTTTCAAGCAATGGATCAATGTGTCCAACTATTGTTACCTGTATGTACAAACGTTTGCGTTTGTTTTAAAAGCAGAGAAAAAACATACACGCGAAGATATTCGATCGACTCAATTGTTTATTAGAGTAGAAGTGATTAATACGAAGAAAAAAAATTCGTTTCAATTGTAAGCCCAATCGATGGTTCTTTATAAATAAGCGAATTAATGAAGAACACGTTAT